CACCACAACTATTCTGAGGAAACTCCAAAGCAGCGTCCTTTGCTTAGCCCCGCCCACAACGACTGTGATTGGTTTAAAGAAATACAAACAAGCCAGAGGGTTTTGTCTTTTAAATCCTCTATAGCAGAAAGATAGTGAGGGGCAGCCAGACACATCATGTTTTACAGAATGGGCTCCCCATCACTCAGTTAAAAGTGAAGAAGCCTGTTGGATGAGAGGAAAAGCAGTCAGCTTCCACTGAAGCATTTAGGACTATCATTTATTTCCTCCACTGCTTCCCTGTGCAGTGCAGTTGGATGAGACAGTGAATCTACTTTGTTAAAACAGTCAGCACGTAGCTTCCACTCAATTTCATCTTATTAATGCCAGAACTGCACCGAAAATAGCTTCTGACACTCAACCAAGCTTTACACAGACTCAGCTCTCATTCTGATCCAAATCCTGCCTAATCCGGATCCAATAATTCCCTGTTAAGACTCCCACTCCTCCGGCGGGCACCGATCGCCCCTCATAGCTGCACACTTCGCTCGGTGAGGACTGTGACTCCATGTCTGTGTGAGGGAGGATGCTCAGAGCGAACCCAACCTCTCCAGACACCAGGATGAAGTAACAGTCTGCGCGTTGTTCTCTGCTCTGGATGCTACTGGGATGTATTTTGGAAGCGGGGTCGGGCAGCAGCGACCCACCAGCATCACAACACTGAGCCTGACATGAATGACAAGTAAAAAAAAAAGATCCCCCTTTTTTTTTTCTTTTTCTTTTTCTTTTCTTTTTTTTTTTTCAAATCAAGTGAGCAGCACAGGAATGTGCACAGGGCTGCGCTCAGACTCCTCACAGCGACATTTTGGACCTTTTGGACCTACCTCGGTTTGTTTGTAAACAGCAAAGAAGAATCCTCCAGTTTTATTACAATTTTTTGTTCCCCAACACATTTTATTCTTTCATTTTGGACATTTTTGAGTGGGAGTTGGTTTGTTGGGAGTGTTTCTCTTTTGTGAAGGCAAACTTCTACCATGGCACTGGTTATGGAGCCTGTGAGCAAGTGGAGCTCCAGTCAAGTGGTTGACTGGATGAAAGGTAGGCTTCAGACACAGCGATCGCCTCGTTTCTATCACCAAACTGCTGTGTTGCATTGAACATAGTCTCACACAGTCGCAATGCATTTCAACAGATTGAGTCGAAGATGCCAAAAGGGAACAAAACACCTGCTGAGCCTCGGATTTTTTCGCCTCCACGCTCGCTGAAGGCTTTTAATTACAGCCTTAAATCGTTTCATCGATTTTTTTTTTTCAACAGTCTAGAGACGACTTGTACCTTTCAGACAGACCTGATCTCTCCGGAGCACATTCAAAATAGCCCCAAACGGTTTTTTAAAACCCCCTCTATTGTGTCCTGCGGTGGTCATTGTTAACGCAGGGGAGCCTCGCAGGAGGCTGAGAAACACAGATCCAGTAATTACACCCAAATGATCAGCCCCCTCTCCCTGGATGTTGTGCTCAGGAAAGGTTTTAAGTTATCGACCGAGCTTCATGTGTTTGCACAGAGCTGGTGCACGATCAGAGCCATCTGTGCGAAAAATGTTGATCCACAGATGCCCTAAGTCATTAAGAAGTCACAGCTGACTAAGAGCAGCATCATGCAAGACTGGCTTCAGTTTTAAATCCTTATAATGCACCTAAACCTGGGCCCATCACTGGGAGTGTATAAGCTCCTAGGTTAGATATTTGCTCTGACACAAGAGCACTTTACTGTAAATCAGAGCATCTTTTCATTTATTTTTTTTGTTAGAATAAAGAGATGTACAAGCAGGACTCAGCCTTGTAATCAAGCACTGTTTGGGCCTATTGTAATTTAAGCTGAACTGTAATTAATAAAGATCTGGAAGTTAGAAAAATGCATTGTTACTATTTAATTTATCATTCGTAAGCATTGGAAGCTCCTTTGAGGAAACGTGTCGACCGATTCACTCTCCAAAGATCTCTAAATGCCCCCAAACAGCTGTGGAGGATTTACTGCCACATCCTATCAGGATACTTCCAGGGCACAGATTTCCTCATTAGCTATGCTGCTTTTTTTTGTGTGTGTGTGTCTGTTTGCATTACAAAGTTATTACCGCCAGCAAATGAGATAGAAATGTAAAGGAGGGAATGTTAAAGTGAGTAGGAGGCTGTTATCTGAGTGTGCGTATTTGTCTTCTGACACAGTGAGCGTTCCAGTAATGGTGTGTTGTTTTGCAGAGCCACGTGCTCACGTGTCAGGCCACAGCCCTTCAGATGAAACATACACATCCATGCATCTTTACCGCCTCAACACACATACACACACATATGTATCGCACGCCATAATAATTCTGAGCCTGCAGGTCTTTTCTGCTGGCTCAGACGTATTATGATTGCGAGGATCAAACCTCTCCCAGTATGAGTTGTGTATTACAGATTGTACCTGAATCTGTTGCTGCCTTTTAAACAGGGTGTTTTTTTGTGCTCGCTCAGTGAAGAGATAAAATGCAAAGTGTAAAGCGTGAGGGAGGATATACGCAGACAAAAAGGGTGGTGATAAGATTTAGAGACGGCCAGAAACAGAAAGGCCGTAACAGTTCAAATGAGATCTAAGATGATGTGTAAATAAGCTGGTAGCACAAGAGAGAAACGCAGGAGGCAAGAAGTGGAGATTGGAAACGAGGGAGGACTCTTCAGTGTCCCACATCTGACAAGTGGAGCAGAGACGGTTCTTGTGCCCAGAGCCCCAGTAATGGTAATTTAAAGTGAGGGACAGAGTGGCGCTGAGGAAACGGCAGAGGAGCGGGGGTTTCATTCTCGCCTCACATCCATTCTCAACCCCTTTAGGACTGGCAGCGTTTTGTCGTTAGCATTCACAGGTTCCATTATTAGCATGCCGCTCCGTGATGTCACTGGAGGCCAAATAGGGGCACCCCGTGACCTTCCCACAGTCCCGCTCTCCACCCCCTGTTAGTGTTTTGTGTGAGCTCCATTCCCAGCTGTGACAAAGCCGCTTTAAAGGAGAGATTCTCATCACAAAGGAGAAAAAAAGAATTCCAGCTTTGACTGAAAATGTGTTCTTGACATACCGAGTGAATGGTATTTGTGCAAACACATGCGATGTGTGCATTATTGTCTTCTCTCTTTTTCTAATTGTCTTGATGTTTTGAGCCACAGAACTAATTCAGGCTTAGTATAATCTCTTCTCTCCTCCTGACAGTGTTGCATTAAGATAATTCACATTTTGTGACATATATCAGGTTTATCTTTGAGCTCCTTTTGCTGCACAATCACACACCGACTCCCCTGTTGTCTGGCACACACACACACACACACACACGGACAGTGATCAATGACGAGTCAGATTAACACATATCAGTTGTAACAAAGCTAACAGCCTTGAATAGCTCTCTTTCCTTACATTACCACTGGATTATCTAGAACGGAGATCAGGATATGTCAGCGCTGTGCTTTTTAATTTCTCCTCAGCGTGGCTGATAATCTGAGCCGTACATGAAGTAGACAGGAAAATTGATGTAGCAGAGATTACTCAGTGCAATCAGTGAATTACGCTCCATCTAGAAGGGATTTTTATTGCACGTTGCTCCTTTGAATGAAGGGCAAAAAGCAAAATATGGAAGTTTTAAAGGGGAAACCACCAAACTTTTAACAGCAAGTCTCATGTTTTGATGTAACTCACGTTTTAATTATAATAATAGCCCTCATTTATACAGCACCCATCTAAATAGCACCATATGCTGCTCTACAATGTAAAACCCTTTGGGAGTTTTTAAATTATTGCTAATGAAATAAGCAGATAGTTACTTTAGCTTGATGTCTCATCTAACTATTTCCTTGTTTCATTCTGCGGTTTGGGGAGAATCCCTGCCAAAAATCCTGCTTTGTGGTTTCTATGGCAACGTGGGGAATACTTCATTGACATAATGAGTCTCAATTAACTTGGTAAAGAGGCTGATTAGTTAAGCTCTTAAATGTTATGCAAAACCATGAAACTCCCTATGCTTCCTCTCCACCGTTTAGCTGCCAGCTCAACCACGACGTGAATGCTTGATCAGGTTCGGGCTCAGCACCGAGTCACATGTGGATGATCGGTTCAGAGACAAGACGAGGAGAGAGTCGTCAGCGTGTGAGAGAGAGAGAGAGAGAGAAAAAAAAGGACAGAGACGATGGAAAGAGGCCGTCTGTATAGAAAATGCCACACAAAAGCTACTCTTTCTGTCTCTAGTGGTAAAAAGGATATCCAGTTAGCTTGCAGAGCACTTTGTGTTGACATTCAACCACGACGTATACACAGATAAATAATTTGTTTTTCAGCTTAATAATGCATTTGCTTGATGTCAAAGTTAACAAAACGAAAGTAAACAACATTCTAGAGTGAAGAAAACCCCATTCAGAAACTGTCAAATCAAATTTTATGCACAGAACTTTGTGTGATATCATCCAAAATACTCAATTTGAACCTAATTCACTTCATCAGGGCAGAGTACAGCTGCAGAAATACAGCACAGTGATCCTGCAATTTTTGTTTACTTGTGTGTCAAAGAGAATTTCCTTTAAGTCTGAAGAGTCATTTCAAACGACATTTTTGTGACGCGGCTGTAATAGATTGAATACTTTTGTGAAACTTCCTGATTTCATGTCTTCCCCTCTCCATATATACTGTAATGATGCACTCGATCGCGCAGTTTGTAGTCATAAATTTCACAATATAAGGCATAAAATGATGCAGACAGGAGCTGCGGAATCAGTTTGCTTTAGTCTGTTGCGCTCCATCAACAGTCGCTCCAAAAGACTTCACACCTGCTGCAGCGGTGAAATATGTAAAACAAGCTGAGCACACATACATCGCACTTTTTTTTTTTTTTTTTTTGTTGAGAGCTTTTTTTTTCTTCTTCCCAGTTTAAAGCTGAACAAAAATGCAGCTAAGGACTGTTGACGAGGGGGAATGTGTCAGATTTCTTGCCTGACACAGAATGTTTCACACTTGAACACAACAAAATACCACCTGTGCTCACACTTTACAGATTTACAGCACATATTCTGGCAAAGACAGCCATAGTTAGTATGCTGTTAGAGCATATTATGCAAACAGAGGTTTCACGAGAAAATCCGACGCTGCCTGCAAACTAAACCGCCAACTTGTCGAGCTGTGCTGAAAGTTTCCCTGTTTTCCTGTGTGCTTCCCTCAGGCCTGGACGACTGCCTGCAGCAGTACATCAAGACCTTTGAGAAGGAGAAAGTAGGGGGGGACCAGCTGCTGCGTATCACCCACCAGGAGCTGGAGGATTTGGGAGTGTCCAGAATTGGACACCAGGAACTCATCCTGGAGGCTGTGGACTTACTCTGCGCTCTGGTGAGTCCAAGCTTCCCACGCCGTCTTCCCACCGCTCTGTACTGTCACTTCAAAGAGTCATGGACCACTGCTGTCGCAAGAAGTTTCTGCGGAACATTTGGTGCCTCCACAGCTAATAATTTAAAAAGTCGGTGGATACATCAAGTCAGAAACTAAATTGATTGTGATGTGTCAGCTGTAATTTTTGCATAAAGTTATCCTTCATAAGCCTGTTAAGTTGGTTGCTTCAGGAATAACTTACTGTGAACAGGTTTGCTTTAGGCCTCGGTTTTTTCAAACATCACAGCACATCTACCAGACTTCGTAATCTGGCCGAAAACATCCTCTACAGGCAAATCTTACAACTGTCATTAGTGCTGACACGGATTACAGCCTCATCTTGAAGTGATTTCTGCTCTTAGTCTCAGGGATACAAGTTTCGTGTGTGTCAGCATCATCGACTGCTGTTTTGCTGATTTGGCTAATGTGCTGCGTGTATTTATTTAGCTTCTAACACTGACTCCACATGTTAGTGCAGTGACCCGTGTTCGCTTCTGATTCAGAACACAACAATGTAACCGTTTCCCCAGTGTGACACTCAGCAGCTCCTGATAGAAGAACGTAACACAATCGGTTCAGACAATCAATTCGGCGGTTGTGAGGCTGCTAATATGAAATGAAATCATCGGGTGCAATAAATCCACTATAAGCCTGTTTTTTTTTGTTGGTTACAGAGCAAAGGAGCAGACGAGGGAGCATTATTGTTATCTGTGTTTTCCTCAAATTGATGGCAGCGATGCTTGTTAACCATAAATGCAACAAAATGCTGTCTCTAATAGAGACAGTACAGGGAATTAATCAAACCTCTGTTGAGCAAAGAGAACACACACTTTCAAAAACGTTGCATGTTCGTTTTATCTCCCTGCGCTCCTAAAAAAGCTTAACCACTAAAAAACAAAAAGTGATTTAGTAAAGGAATATTGTGTTTTATTTCCCCAGAGCCTAGTGCGACCGGCTCAGATTACTTGTTTTGTGCAACCAACATACCAAAATACGCACATTGGAGAAGCTACAACTAGGCAATATTCAGCATTTTTGCTCAAAAATGTGATCAAATGTCTAATTTCTTGGACATCTAATGTGTTGCATCTAATTGCCAACACCTACTGTGGCCGTGCTGTCCGTTTCAGAGAGGAAAAAAATCTGAAGTTAATTTACTAGCTCAGGGAATGTAAATGTAAATCAATCCCTCTTTTTGTGTTTGTCTGTTTGTGTGTCATCTACCTGCAGCTGAATCATTTCTGTAATTTCCTCTGTTGTCGGATCCTTAATTTTAGTTGCACATGACGTAAACGCTGCTGAAACATTGAAATCCAATTTGCTGCTCTGACATCAAATTCAATTAGACTTAAGGAAAAGAAAAGGAGACGGATGAGTGAGGAGTAGAGACTGGAGATGGAGATGTGTTAACCCCGCAGAAACTGGATGGAGATTTAGCGGGCCGAGGTCACAGTTGCAATCTGAATCTAAAGTCCTCTCATCCTGCATGGCTGCGCGGGGGGCCCTGCTTCAGCCCCAAAGCTTCTTACGTAACTGGGATTTTGTTTTAAGTCTCTCAGGCACTGCTGTATTAAATATGATTAGTGGCCCTCCTGCTGCGCTCTCCCCTCCCAAGAAACCCTGACATGATCGACGCCCGCAGGCCTGCACGTGCTGCTGGCTGTACGGTTTAATGAGCGCTCAGCCATCCCTCGACATGCAAAGTGACAGCTGGTTTCCTCGCGTGTCCGTCATATGTGCAGCATTTTGTGTCGTGCAACAAGGTGGGCTGCTCTGCCAGTGGTCCTCTCATTCACAGAGCAGTGTCAAGACAACAATTGTGTTCAGCTTCCGCGCTGGAGAAAATCTTGGAAGGCGTCAGAGTCAGAACAAACACTGACAAACTGGTCAAACAGAGTGAATTTACTTTCCTTTCTCCCTCTAGAATTATGGGCTGGAGACTGAGAATCTGAAGACGCTCTCTCACAAGCTGAATGCGTCTGCCAAGAACCTGCAGAACTTCATCACGGGCCGGCGGCGCAGCGGCCACTACGACGGCCGAGCCACCCGCAAGCTGCCCAACGACTTCCTCACCTCCGTGGTGGACCTCATCGCTGCAGCCAAAAGCCTCCTGGCCTGGCTAGACAGGTGAGATTTGCAAAAAGGTGCACCTATCAGTAATTTATACAAGATAAAAGGCACGTGGTAACAATTGGACACGCATATGAATACATTCATGAGTGCACACATTCATACAAGCAGACACAAACAGTGTTCTCCCTTTAAAATCTGGTCTTTGGAAATACTTCAGCCCTTAGGTTAGCTTTAGATGCGTACTTGTGAATATTTTAATCGCATTTTCAAGCTCAAACGTGAACTGTTCATTCTGAAACTTAAAATTTATTATATTCTGGTTGAAAATAACCTGCAGCCAGCCAAACATATAAAAACTGGCTTCAAAAAGGAATGAGGCTTGTTTTTCTGACATCATGCTCTGGATTATGTGTTTGGGGTGTTCTAGGTTTTTTTTTTTCTTTTACCTGAAACAGACCAGTTTTTGTTTTTTTCTTTGTGCGTAATGTCTGTGACCAATCAGCTGACAAAAAGAAGATGAGTAAAGGCCTTATATAAGTCGATTTTGACAGGGTGGCCAAAACGACACAGAGCAAGTCTATTTATATTTGTCGCTTTATCCCCTTGCTTCTCTGTGGGATTGTGCCAATGTGTGTGTGTGTGTCTGCATGTGTCTGATGAAGTTGGAAGTTCAAAGCTGACAACATTCGACTGAAATAACAAAGTGATCTGCTGTTTCCTTTTACCCATATAGCAGGCAACCGTTTACGGCATTCATTCTAATTAAAATTCAGCTTTCCATGTTTCGTTTTCATGTTTGAAAAAGCAGGTTTGTCAACAGACCAAAATATAAATAGGAAAAAAAAAAAGAAGTGGGATTTAAAATATAACTGCGATTGTTAAACTGTGGACAGCTCACATTGGCCTTTCCCGTATGACAAATAAAGATATTGTTGTTATATATTATGTGTAGGTGTTATTGTTGCACGAAGCATTTATATTGTTCTCAGAAATCTGACTTTCTTTAAAAGCCTCCAAAATGTGGATGCAAACACAGGCCCGTGTGCGTGCTGCTGTACACGGCTGTGTGTTTGGAAACGTTCCCACAAATTTACCAGTGATTTAGTCTCGAAAGAAGAATGATCTAATGGTTCATTCCAGGTGCTCCTTCTTTTTCAGGTCTCCATTTGCTGCAGTGGCTGATTACTCGGTGACGAGGAACAATGTGATCCAGCTGTGTCTTGAGCTCACCACAATTGTGCAACAGGTAAAGTAAATCTATAATACCGTAATATACAGCTTAAAAACCCTTCATTTGATAAGAGCAACCTGACCCACTTTAGAGGATTACGGCAAAATGCAAACTGACCGAAATGTTTGCATATAGTTTTAGAAACATCTGCACAGGATACACGCACCGATCAGCCACAGCATTGAAAACCGGCTGTCTAATATTGTGTAGGACCCCATTTGTGCTGAAATAAAGCAGCTCTGACTCACTGGGATATGGACACAGGACCTCTGGGGGCGTCCATGGATGCTGAAACAGATTGAGACCTGCGGAGTTTCGAGGCTGAGTCAACACCTTGGACTCTTTGTCATGTTCCTTGAGGTGTTGCTGAGCGGTTTTTTGCAGTGCGGCACGTAGTTCTGCTGGAGGGGCTGCTGTTGTTTGGGAGCGCTGTTGCCGTGGGGGCCGTACGTGGTCTGCAACAATGTTTACATGGGTGGTGCGTGTCAGAGCAACAGCCACGTGATTACCAGGACCCAAGGTTTCCCAAAAGAACGTTGCATTGTAATGAGATGATCAGTGTTATTCACTTAACATGCAGTGGTTTTAATGTTATGGCTGATGGATGTATACAGTAGTGAATGTGCATGTTGTGCTTATGGAGAAAAAAGTGAAGCATTTCATTTAATTCCTTGTATAAACCTTCAATTTTTTGGACACATTGCATCCATATACATATGCAAATATTTAAAAAAGAAAAGATAGATGCAATGAAGTGCTTCAGTTAATGCCATGCACATAATTATCTATATATCAGCTCGTTACTGATATGAGAACAAACTTCATTTTGTCCTGCACAAATTTTCTAGCTTTATAAATTGCAGCTGTCAATGCTCATTACAAATACTTAAGCTAGACTTCATAATTTGGTTGTCAGATATGCAGTCTTATGAAGCATCACCTCATTTAGCTACACTTGGAGTGCATGCATGTACAGTTTTTTTTTTTTTTTTCTTTTCAAAATTGCAGGCACATGGGGTCGAATCAAATGTTAGAGGCTTATCACAGATTAGATTTTAATGTCCTTGCACACAGGCCCGTAAATGGCGACAGTCGGTCCTGTATGACTCCGAAAGATCAGTAAATGATGAGAGAAGTGATTCTTAATGGCTTTCAGCGCGGTCTCTATGGAGGATAATGTTCCTGCAGAGTTAAGAGAAAAATTAAAGTGGGAAAAAATTAAAGGTGGGAGTGAAAGAGGGCGAAAGGGAACGAGTTGAAGGCTGAGAGAGAGGAAGACTGGCAGATAGAAAGAGAGAGAGGCATGCCTCCGCAATGGTGATTCATTTGTTTTGTGTTTGTGCATGCCTGTGTGGGAGTGTTGCGGGTTATAGGTGCCAAGCTGCTCGTTTTTTTTCCTCTTTTTTTTTTTGCTTATATCCACCTACAGCAGAAATGCCAATAATAACTCCATTTTGACAAATTCTCTTGAGGTAACAGTGCTCTCTGAATGTTCCCCAGGACTGCTCTGTGTATGAAACAGAAAACAAGATCCTGCATGTGGTGAGTTTTTGCTGACTTTATTCCAGTGGACTGAAAGAAAATGAAGCTGTTATGTGCACACTTGGAGGCGTTTTCTTTTTTTTTCATCCCTAATGTGTCCTCCCCAGTGTAAAACTCTGTCTGGAGTGTGCGACCACATTATCTCCCTGTCCTCGGATCCCATGGTGTCACAGTCTGCACATTTGGAAGTTGTGCAGCTCGCCAACATAAAATCCACTGAAGGCTTGGTAAGACTGTCGCTCTCACTGGTCATCCTACCCAGTATGATGCGAGAGGATGCTCTGTGTGTTTCTGTCGTCTGTAGCTCAGCTGCAAAAATATAACCGAAAAAATAAAAAAATGCCTAATGGCAGTATTTTCAAGAACACTTACTTGGCAATATTGATGTAACAGGAAGTGGTTGCAGTTAGCAATTAGGCATAAATTAAAGAAAAACCTTCTAATTGCACCGAAATTAAACTGAAGATGTTTATAAAGCCCAAGTGCTTGGTTATGACACTGAAAGCTAATATAATAGCTGGTAGTTTCTGAGTAAAATACATTTCACGCAGCAACTGACTGATTGGATTCATTCATTTTCACCCTAACTGCATAGACATGTAGTTATAACTGACCCAAACCTTTTCCATGGCTCTAATTTTTACTGTGCATTGTTTCTTTGGAAGAAACAGGCAATTTTAAAATACAATTGAAGACACAGTAAAGCCATTAAATCGCTGCAGATGACCTGCAAAGTCCAGCATGTGGCACTCATTTGAGATGTATTAGGAGCTTTCACATGAATCACAAAATACAATAAAATGACTGCTAAGAAATTTCACAGTAATTACCTTTTGCATTGTGTTGTTAATGTAGGAGTGACCTTGCTGACTGAAATCTACTGGTAGCTTCCATGTAATATTTCAAGACATAAATATGCGACATTTTGAGATACGAGTTCTACGTCATCCAGTCACATCCACAACTGAGTAGCTACTGTGGACCAAACTGATTCATAGATGCCCAATATTCCACCACACACCTGCACACAAGACAGCTTTCAATATACTTTCATAAGATCTGACTTAATCTACTTAAAATATGAAGATGTTAATTGTTTTCCAGGTTTGATGAAATGAACGCAGGAAAAAGCTTCCAAAAAAAAAGTAAAGTACAAAACTACTAATGATGCTGGATGATGGTGAAAACTACTAATTACAAAAATCATAACAGCATGACTCTTCACGGCATATTCTGTTTGATTGAAATACGGCATGTGCAAATTATCTTGCAGCATGTCACTCGCTCACAGCAAATACAGTTAATTCAGTCACTTTACTAACTTTGCCTGATTTGTTTCTTCCAGTTGAAATGCTTTTATAAGTACAGTTTTGTAATTCCAAAGACACATAACCATGTAGGGACTTTATTGTTGTTTTTTGGTTGTAATTCTCTCCGTTTGTCCTAAATATATCTCAGGAATGCCTGAAATTTGGCACAAACGTTCAACTGGATTCAAATATGAACTGAGTATGATTTGATGGTAAAAGGTCAAAGGTCACGGTCACCTCACAAAACACATTTTTAGGCCAAAACTCAAGAATATATCACTAATTGTGGCAAAAAATTCACAAAAATCTAATAAGAGCAAAATTATGAAGTGATGACGTTTAATATTCAAAGATAAATCTAATTTCTAAGTCGTGTCATTTTGCAAAAACACAGTTCTGGCCTTTATTCAACACCATAAATCAAGAACAGAAGGGGGGAATTGTGACCATATGTCACATGTGGTCGGATATTAAAATAGTGAGACTAATCTTGGGTGTCCATCTTGAAGCTGGTGACTACATAGATATTATGTGCTGCCAAATTAAAGATGTGTGTGAAGCGTCTACCTTTAAAATGCCAGAATCTCCAAGTAAAGACAGCATGTTTCTCAATCGTCAGAAATTATTAATTGGAATCATAAACGTCGCTATCGTGATAACTTCCATTCTGACCCCGAAAAATGCACTCAGTTCCTTTTATTAAATTCCTTCAAAGCCTTCACTACTTGTATTGTGAGTCTGGACAGACATGAATGTGAACTGCAACTTGACTGACTGGCGGAGACGTATGACCGCGAGGCAGTCATTTTATTCCAGCCATGAAGTGACCAAGTGCACCAGATATTTCCTTAAAGGGTCAGTTGACCCATATTAGAAAAATACGTCTACCTCTAGAGGTATGCAGATAGTTTCGTTGCAGCGTGATTCCAGCAAATTGAAATTCATTTCAGTTGCTCCAGGCACTGAGAAACTGCATTATTAAATCAACAGAAACATCTCTTTATAGAGAGACTGTCCCTGTTACTAGGGTTGAATCTGTTCATCCGTTGTCCAGAGTGTCCAATATGGCACAATTGGCACTTTACAAAACAGTTGTAGTAGGATTTTTGATTTAGAAAGAGTAGGAGGTAGATCATAAACACTGTGTGCTGTTGTACTGTCTAGTGTCTTGTGGAGCTCAGTGTAGCTGTCCCAAAAACTAGGTTTTGCTGAGCTGGTGGGCATATGAGTCAGCTGATAGAATGCAACATGAAAACAACATGTTGGGCTTGTTGAAATGAGCGAAATACAAACAGCTTAAATGTACAAATTGCAGTGCAACAACCGATAAATGTGTGTGCACCTACTTTTAAGAGCAGCAGAGAAGAATGTTTGCACTGTACAACCATCAGCACTTTGCTGGACTCCATCTTGGCGCTGACCTACACTCAGGCACAAGATCCCTGCTTGGGGCCACAGTGAAAGCCCCACCCCCACACTAACGCTAGCATTGGGCATGGAAGTTCTCTCATCCGTTCAGTGAAACCTGAACACAACAGTGGGCCAAGTGGCCTAAAAATAAATCTCCTCCACTCATCTTGAAGACTGGCATGCTGCTTCTATGTATCTGTATGACTGTGCGTGTGACACATAGTTATGCGCGTGTATTCGTGGTTGTGTGTGTGTGTGTGTGTGTGTTTGAAATGCACTTTAGACCCCTTTTAGCGAAAGCTTTGACTTTTAGCTTTTTTTGCAGCAGACCAACAGTTTTTTGCAGACAAATAATCCTCCATGTTTAATCTGCTTGGAGGGGGACCTGAGTGGGACTCACTCCACGAGATAAACTCACACTGTGTCTCATATGTTTGTAAAGTACACAATATTTTAGGACTTTCAAGTAGTTATTTAAGGATCTGTCTGAGGCAAATCTGAGCTCAGCATGAAAAAACATAATTGAAATAAATCCAGATTTCTTCCCATTTTGGACCGCAAGCAGATTAAAACTGATGTTGTTGCATTTGTAATTTGCAAATATGCAACAACCCTGTTCTGTTCTGCAAATGATTGTGTGGCTGAGATGCTTTGAGTTTGTAATTTGAATATTAAAGTTTGCTGGGTCATAACTTTACGTTACTGCTTTAACCCCACAGGGCATGTACATCAAATCAACGTACGACGGTCTGCATGTAATCACTGGGACGACAGAAGGAGTAAGTACGAGCCTCTATGTGCTCACCTTCGTAGAGCTTCACCTCATTGTTCATTCAGTTGTAGCGTAATTTGTAGATTGGGACGGTTGTATCCCAGTTATCTCTGTTATGACGGTAAAATGTTGCTTCAGTTAATAGCTCTGCCTGTCTGTCTCTCCATCAGTCCCTGGCTGACCGCTGTAAGAAAATCCACGCTGGAGATGAAGTCATCCAGGTCAATCATCAGACAGTGGTACGAGCTTCTTTTTCTTTTTTTTTATTCTCTCTGGCTTGTTTGGTGTGTTTTTTATGTTTGCAGTCTGAATTTGCATAATCATTTTTATGTGCATTTTTCATTTGCATTTGCAGATTGTCTATGCAAATTCCCGTTTAATTCCTACGTACTGTACCGGTTTTGCACACAGAGAATCCCTGCTTCAGACTGTGTGTGTTTTTTTTGCAGTTCCTTTATATACGGTCGTTATACACATCTGTCCATCCACAGCTAGCCACTGCAGCTCGGCTGTTATTGCCTCAGTTACTGGCTGTAAGGTTTCTTGAGGACTTGGATTTGTTCCTTTGCACATCTCAGCATCACTCGGACGGTTTGCTGAAAGCAGATCAAGAGGTGTTTGTTTGAGAAAAGTACCTGTGAAAATCACTGTTTTCAGTGTGATTTCTGTTTTAGTTCCTTGACACCCGTGGTACACCCACACGGATGTTTTTACTTAATAATCAGACCTCTCCGATTAGTTGTGATTCACCTGGTGAGATGACATAGAAATAACATCCTTCTACTTTCACGTAAAAGCAGAAAGTGAAGGAAAGAGGGATTTAGAAGCATTAGAGCTCTTATGCTGGGCTTTGTGATGCTGCTCGTTCTTCTTATTTAATATGGGTGTTTGATGACCCATCATTATTCTCAGCAGTGCTCAGCTTCAACCTGAGCGCTAATCAGCCAGAATAATTGTCCGTTCATTGTTTTCCTGCCAGTGAGATGTAACCGCTCAAAGTGCCTGTTGCCGGAGTGCATATAGCATAGTTTCAACTGAGTGGAAAACGCAAGGCAAAACTTCCTGCGGTGCAGAATTTAAATATAGCACCCTTTGTTTAAAATAATTGCTGCTTGTGTGTGCAACAGCAAGATGTATGATAATTACCCAGCTCAAGTCAGGTTCATTTCAGTCAGTCTGCTCACCCACTGAATGCAGCCATTTTTTAGAGGGAATAAGTGGAAACACACAGTTGATTTGGGTGTCAAGAGTCTTTCATTTCAGTGAAGCGTGCGGGGTTTAAAGGCTGCCAGAAGTGAGAGCAGAGAGATGTCAGCGCATGCTCCTCATGGGGAACCAAAAGAACTACACTGTATCCAAACAGACCTTTTAAGGCAGATATTTCAGCCTGTCATGGCAGCGTAATTTATAGCGGTAATGATGGAACAGAGCCACGATTTCTGATGTAAACTACAGTGATGCTTCTACAGTTTGATTTGCGGCAGGTTGTCAGAGTTGCAGCTTGACTGACGTATGTAAATTGGCTCATGTCTTGTTTCATCTAATGGTAGTACAGATGGGTGCATTTATTTCTGGTAAACAACATAGGAAAACAGTAAGAATGTAGATTTTTATGTTGTATGTACTGTAAAGTATCAGTATGTGGTAGGGAGCTGGTGCACAGGTGTTCTCAGGCGCATGCCGGAGACGTAGCGTTGCATCAAAGATGTCCTGCCGAGACGGTTGTCGAATGAACAGCGGCTGAGTGAATCTGACACACACTTGACATGCCTGCTCATCCCAGACTGCGCTGTCACTCATAAAGACTGCCATAACCGGCTTAAATACTTTTTTAATACATTTAATTTAGTGTGGCCCATGAGCAAATTGATGATGGGGTGGCTGTTCACAACAATCCCTTCAGAGACTCAAGCAACCTTTGGAGAAAACTGCATTGAACCAGATGTGTCTGTGGTGGCCCAGATTACCGGCTTCTCACAGGAAGATAAAACAACAAACCAGAAAGAAAAGTTGTGAAAAGGTCTTAACTGTAAAAGCAAGGAATAAAGTCTTCAGGCCCGAGAGACAGTAGAATGAACGTCAAGGTTCAAAAAACACCGCCAAGGAAAGAAGACATGCTTGGAATAGCTGAGGGATTTCTAATTAAGGCAGCTGGGAGCAGTCCAGTAATGAGACACAGACCAAAGTTCACTGGATTTGAGCATCCTTGTGATTAAGTTGAGAACACATGTAGAAAAAGCTAATTTGGAGCTTTTTCGTGGTGCTGCGCTAAAGATTAGACAGCGTGTCAGAAATAAATAACTCCAGTCGGCTATGATGGATTGGATTTCTGGTGCAGGGATGGTCAATAACTGTAGAAAGCTTCTAACAAATAAAAAAGACTACATACAGCATAGGACAGTTTAACACTAAAGAGTTTCACCAGAATCCCTTTTGGGAGACAAAGCAAAAAGACGAATCCATTGATTTGATGTTTTATTATTAATACTTTCAAGACTTCTTTAACAATGCTGAACAGTAGCTGGATAAAGCTGAAAATCAGGGATTTACTGGTTGAAATAAACACATCTCTTGGCCAGACACAGCAAAACAATCTTTTTCATCACAGAATAAAGCTTTGGAATCGAAACGTGTCTATTTTAGGGTGTCTGTCTCTTTAATGCGCTCTCTGTGAAGAATTTCTGTGTAATGGCTGTCAAGGTGAAAAATTACTTGGAAAGGAACAAAGTGATTGCCAGGTCAGAGCTTGAAAAATGCCGGGCTTCTCGGGCTGTGTGGAATACACAAGATGAACTAAAATTTAGTGCAGTCAGCCAAGCAGGAGAGGATTTTTTTTTTCTCCCCCCCCACAAACTGGACCTGGCATATTTGGTTCAGCAGACAGTGCTTCTCTGGCCGGGATGTTTTTTGTGCCAAATATCATTAAAAGTGGGTTAAAGACTATTTACAAGGCATGCAGCTGTTCACGACATCAGGCTTTAGCACAACATGACAGGAGGAGCACAAGATGCCTTCTGGCGTTCAAGTTTGTATTTAACATCCTCATCAACATGGAGCTCAGAGACTGCAGGCTGTGCTGCAGATCTCATCCATCAGGATCCACGTGTGTTATTAAAACAACAACGACAACAGCACCCTAAATAAAACGACCTGAACCTCAGCATAGAGCGGGTTAGTCATAAAGAAAAGTCATTCAAATCATGTGTGGAAAAACTACCTGGATATTAGACTAGTCACTGGCTGGAGGCTCAAATTGAAATATCAGCATTTTATTTCTGCATTCTGAGTCATGGAGATGCCTGCGTGTGCCGAGGAAACCCTCATCAGGTTATTCTCGTTTGCTAGGTGGGCTGGCAGCTGAAGAACCTGGTGAACTTGTTGCGTGGGGACCCTGCAGGTGTGACCCTGACGCTGAAGAAACGCCCTCAGAGCACGCTCACATCGACCCCTGCGCTGCTCAAAAACATGAGATGGAAGCCGTTAGCGCTGCAGGTACGGCGATGCTTTCATGCTCCACAGATACAGTCTGTTCATCTCCATTTCTTTGTGAATATTTGTGTTATTTGTATGTGTTTTTCTCTGTATCGCTGTCCGTACTGAAAATAAGATTTAATACGCGAACTAAGAAGCCAGATCAGCGCACAAATGGCCAAAATATAAAATAAACACAATAATACGACATAAAGAATCTAATGAAGGAGACATAAAAGTGACACTAATTTACCAAAACACAGAATATTCAATTTTGAGGAGATTGTTTGACTTTAAAGCAGGATTTTAATATATTTTGGAGGTATTCCTTTGCAACCACGACTTGCAACCCAACTTTTATTAATCGTAAAACATTTCTAATACACTCTATAAATACTTTTTCTAGTAACGACTAATTGGTTGAAGGTTCCAGCATCATTCATTCACATGTTAACATTTCAGCCCTAAGTGGCATCTGTTGTCCTACTTCAGCCAAACCAATTACATTATTAGGATCGTGTGCCGGAGCCAGAATGGGTGGAAATGAGAGGGATGTGTATTAAAGTAGTCCAGCCTTTCTTTGAGTCCCATTCCAGAGAAAATGTTTTCTTCCCCCCCGAGGCCCTAAAGCGCAGTCCTGCGCAGCCTCCTCCCCCTTCACATTCTTCTCCTCCACCTAAATCGAATTTGCTCTCCTGCTGGCAATTTTAAGGACAGATGAGGAGGGAGAGAGAAAAAAAAAAAAAACACAGTAACTGTAACGTTTTCTGATCTGAGATGTGACTAAAATTAAGAATGTCAAGGTAGTCGGTTAAGTAACTGAAAAGAAAATTGTGCTGTCGGAGCCCTGCAGTAACATAATGGTTTTATGATGGAGCACACGGAGCGCCTGATTATACATCTCTGACTCTGGTTAGCTGTGAGTTACGCAGCATATTAGCATAGTTTGAGTTATGACTTATCAGTATTCTATTGTTGAAAAAGCTTTTTGCAAGTCCATGTTTAATCACTGCAAAACACGCATCTTGTGATTGGATTACATCTCTCTGACTATTCAAGTTAGGTTGATGAATTTGCAGCTCCATCTTTTGAGACAGTAAATGCGACAAGATGATTATATTGTCGTGGCAAAAAAAAAAATCCAAACACTTAAGCTGCATATTTAGTTATGAAAATTCCTAATAAACAGGGACCAATCTATTTGCAAGTACAGTGTTTAACAGAGTATGTAGGCTATGACCAGATTTTCCTTGACCTCAATGAGAGCGATGCCCAGACTGCACAGCGACCTGCCGTCTTCTGTGCACCAGTTAGAACTGGAGCATCAGAAACGTACAGTACACTGCTCATTTCACGCTTGAGATGCTCGGAGGCGCAGTCTGAACGGAACGAACGCTCGCTCTCTGACTGCACTGAACTGCCGTGAACTCCAAATTTTCATTGTGTCAATCCCTGTAACTGTTTCTCTCTCTCTCTCTCTCTCTTTCTGTCTGCCTGTCTCTCTGTCTTTTCACATGCTCACACATCCACATACACTCGCTTACACACAGCCAATCTTCCCTCAGAGCCCCAGCAGCAGCGTCGCGACGCCCACCAGCACTTTAAGCACTCCATCCAGGAGGAGTAGCTGTGCCCTCCAGGACCTCTTCATCCCGCCTCCTCCGGCAGAACCCTACACCCCCAGGTGAATGCTGATAACACATGAAGTTGTTTTTGACCACTAGTTGCTATGTGGTGCAAGGTTGTTTTTGTTTAGCGTGGATTTTATTTGTATCGTGCACGTGCGAAAGGAAACACATGCACAAGGCTGAGCACGCATGCAACTTGAGACGCACCAAATAAAGTAGAGCAAAGCACCCACACAGCCAAACTAAAGAAAGAGGCGGCTGTAACAGGAAGCATGCGTGGATGTAAACAATACATAAATAAGAGTTTGTTTTTTTAAAAATGGCTTTGCACATGTTTTATGAGGATCGAAATACATTCATCAGACCTCATGGATGCACACAGTGTAACCTCGTCTTCTTAGTTAATCAGTCACTTTGTTGCAGCCTTAACAATCTCAACAATTACCGGATCTATTATCATGAAATTTTATACCGTATTTATCGTCCCCAGAGGATCAATCCGTCTGTCTTTGAAGTTCATCCAACTTTTTGTCTGGCACCATCACCATGTCAAAATTCTGGCTTGACTAAATATGTACTGAATTGCTGCCATTCCCATTGGTCTTAGCTGTACTCTGTGCTTAGTGCTAATTTAGAAACTTTAGCAGCCTAACACACTAAATGACATAAGTGAGTGTGGAAAATATTAAATACGTTTTTGTCTTGTTGTAATGTACATTTTTAACTGACTTTAAAGTAAGATGATAAAAGTAAAACTTAAAGCTGCAGAAGGCAGAAAAGCGCCTGTCCTCCCACCAGCAGAGCACGACCTGCACAACACAGGCAACCCAGAGGTCAACAGTTATTTTTGTCTCCTGAATAAAAGAGCTCTGTTTAACCCATCCAGCCACCACATCCTCCTCCCAATGTGGACTTAGTTGCTCTTTTACTAACCTCACCTGGATCTGAAACGACTTGTGATTGGCTAAAGTCTCTGATCACAGGCTACATTTTCAGATCAAAGAGGAGATGCAGAAGTGTAGTTTTCTCTCAGACCACTTGAATTCAAACATGCTGAATTATTGTTATAGATTTGTTTGCCCAGCGACAACCAAAAAGTATTGCCTAGCTCAGCTTTAAAGGATATGCTTGGTAATTTTCCATATTTTTATCATGAACAAACCCCATCAAATGACCAAAACCAACAATAAACTGAACCTACTGACAAAACTGCTTAAGTAGCCAAAAGCTGATTATTCATAGAGCTTCACTCCTGATAAAAAACTTTTGTAAATACATGATTGAGTCACAGTGTTGGACTTTTAGAGATGTTTTCTTGGCACTGATCGTGGACACTACTCTTTGTTTGGGTCGGTATACATGATATATATACCGCTTGGAGCCACAAGCACGAGAGCACCAAAGCTGAATATAGTCTCCAACACTTTTAGCAGTTTGAGTAATGTTTGCTAGAAACTGCAGTAACCAGGTGTTTTAGGAAGTTATATTAACAAAACTGAGTATTTTTAATGGGAACACATAGTTTGGGGTTGACACAGCCAGGCTGGAGAAGAGGGGAAGTATCGAGTGATGGACTAACATATTTTTGGTTTTATTGACAACAAATATATAGAATATTAACGGCTCTGTTCTTTGAACTGGAAGCTGTTGTTTACTGTTTTCACCCTGTAGAGCAGGGGTGTCGACATCCGGTCCTCGAGGGCCGCAATCCTGCATGTTTTAGATGTTTCCCTTCCAACACACCTGATTCAAATGATCAGGATCGTTATCAGACTTCTGCAGAGCTTGATGATGAGCTGATCATTTGAATCAGGTGTGTTGGAAGAGGGAAACATCTAAAACATGCAGGATTGCGGCCCTCGAGGACCGCAGTTCGACACCCCTGCTGTAGAGCATTCTGATGCCTCTCATTTTCCATGATGTTCCTCCAAACCTGAACTGACCTTAAAACTGCTCTCTGTTACCAAAGAGATGACAAGGGGAATCTGCCGGAAGACGATCCCCAATCGGATGTCCATGTCGCCGAAGGATCCGAGTCCCCAAACTCCTACCTCGACCAGGAATGTCGGCGGCGATTCCCCCTGGTGGAGGAGGACGCCATACTGTACTGCTACGAGTACGACCAGAACCAAGAGGTGTCGTCGGTGCGCAGGGGGAGCACTCCCACTTATGGTAAGACCTCAATTCAAATCCCTGAAAATGTGACGTCTTCATGTTTTTAGGTGTTTTTTTTTTGTTTTTTTTTGGAGACATCTGCAGCTGTTTGATGTGTGCATGTGCGTGTGTGTGGGCAACTGTGCGATATTGACGTTCCCCGCGTCTCTTTGCTCCAGGCAGGCTGAGGCCCATCTCCATGCCGGTGGAATACAACTGGGTGGGAGACAACGAAGACCTGGCCAAGCTGAGGAGAGAGAGCAGGAGAGGTGAGTGGGAGGCAGTGGGAAAGAGAGAAAAAGAAAAGGGAGGCAGAGAAGGGACAGAGGGAGCTGAGGTGAGTGGGAGGATATCTCATAATATCCTCACCCTCTCAGATCTCAGAGCCAGAAAGTAGACGGATGAGCTGGCCTGTCAAAACTGATAACATGCTCGATATCAGTTCTTGCCTCTTTCTCCTCCATATGTTCATAATCTACCGCTGTTCCCTTTTTTTTTCCCTCCCTTCATCCCTCTCTCTCTGTTTCTCTCTTCCTCTTTCTCGCTCTGCTTTGCTCTTTCTCTGTGTTTGGATATAAAAAGTGCGCCGTTGCTCTGGCAACTGTATAAATACATTTTCCCTGAGATTTTCACATTGTGTTGGTGACTATGGAGCTAGGTGGTAAATGGAGTGGGAGGAGACTGAATTGCTTTATTTCAGTCTCAAAGAAAGACTTGAGTGATGTGTTTGTTTCCTCTGGGGATGGTGGTGATGTGTTGCTCCTTTGGGGCTTTTCAAAAAAAAAAAAAAAAAAAGTGATGGCGCTATATTTATCTGCATGAGACAGTGTTTGGAAGTTTTGAGGGCTTCCTGCCTGACAACAGCCTCCGTCTGTAGATGTTTTAATGCCTTTCAAATACTGTAGTGGAAGTCTTTTGAAATGACAGCCTCCACTGATCAAAGGCACTGGTCAGAAAAATCACATAGATAAAGTTAGATCATTTTTTTTGTGATGAGGAGAAACGTGTTTGTTTTAGATGAAACATTCTGGGTTCGGCTGCTAAAATGCGCTGCACGAAGTTTAGTTTACAGTTATTACAGTTAATTTCATGAAGTGTGCTCAGTGCTGAGTTCGTGTCCCTACAGAGAATTCCCTGCTGCGATTTGCAAGTGAAGACAAAGCCCCGGGGGAGAACTTCTTACTGGGCCGCAGCCTGAGCCAGAACAGGAGGAAGTCTGAGCGTGGAGCCAGTCCCACCCATTACACCCTCGTCCCGGCCCTGCAGATGGAGGTGTCCCTGTCCACGTCCAGCTCTGATTCTGCATCCCTATACCATGTCAGTCCTGTATGAAACGTAACATTTTTTTTGCTCTAACGCTTGCACAAGAAGAAGCTTGCAGCATTGCTGTGATCAATCTTTCTTTAATTTGCAGGTGTTTGAGCGATCCTCTCTGCTATCAAGGTCAAAGAAGAAGAGTAAAGGTAGGAGGATTTGTTTTGGGGACATTTTTACTTGAGTGCTCACGCGTCCTCCAACCCAAACATGAGCAGGTGTTTCATGAGAAGTGTTTTCTGTCCCCCCCTCCTTCTCCTCTGCTCGACTCCCTGGCTGGTGCCTGCAGCTGGAAGTCCCATGTCTTCCATCAGCAAGCGACGGATTTCCTGCAGGGACTTGGGTCAGGGGGACTGTCAGGGCTGGCTGTGGAAGAAGAAAGATGCGAAAACCTATTTCTCGCAGAAGTGGAAGAAGTACTGGTTCATCCTGAAAGACACGTGCCTGTACTGGTACATGAATGAAGAGGTGAATATGATGACTTCCATAAAAGAGAGTGTGACACCATTATGACTTTATTCATCATGTGGATCTTTGATTTAACTCAGCGTTTGCTTGTCTCAGGATGAGAAGGCGGAGGGCTTCGTCAGCCTGCCTGAGTTCAAGATTGATCGTGCCACTGAATGCAGAAGGAAGTTGTGAGTATCAGTTTTTATCTGAATGCCAAAGATCAAGTTTTTCCTCTTTGTTTAGCCTCAGAATTAGACACAAGAGGAGAATACATTTCAGAGAGATATCAGCAGAGGTTTGCACATTGTGTGTACAATCAGTGCAGAGGTAGTCTTCTGCAAAATTGGTAGTAAAAAAAAAAAAAGAAAAAGGCTCACACTGCAGGGATTGTGTTAACTTCCTATAGTGTTTGCATACAGTTGATGTTAAGCAACTTTAACTTAGAGGAGAGAGTGACCATGCAAAAAGATGAGAGAGGATGTATGAAACAATTTGCACTTGGACCGTGAATCAGTAATAATTCAGCATTCTGACAAAAGGACAGTTTTTGATTTAAATCTGAAATTGTGACCCAAAATCTGGAGCAGCAGTTGCACTAATAATAGATGATGTAGAATAGTTGATGGAGCAGTACAAAGTGCAATTATGTTATAAAATAGCTCTCTGAAAAGATCCTAGACTGAAAATGTGACACAAAAAGTGTGTGGATCAAATCTTGTCAGTGATATTTCAAAAGACAACCATGTTTTTCTTTTTCTGGCCCCTGGTCACTTTCTAGAGGGAGGGCTGTGACTCTGTTCAGTGTGAGCGCACATGGCTTTAGTGAAGGAGGATTTTTAGTATGATCAAGGCTGTAATATTGGCGATGAGTAGGACACTGACAATGGGCACAAGGGGAAGTTTAAAGATAAAAAGGGAAGTCAAACGACACATGACAGCTTGTCTGCGGGATAATTAGGACTTTTCTTGTTTTCTAGCTTAAGCAAAGAGTCAGTTTGACACAAATTGTTCTGCTAGGAAGGGACAGACCAGTCGGACCACTCTGAAAACGCTACATAACCACCTCCTCTTGCACTGGAGTCGCCTGAATATGGACTTAAAGCAAGTAGAGTTTTCTGGAAAGAAAACAAACATTTTGCTAGTTCAGTAAATTGCCAAAAGCAAAAAATAATTTCAAACCAGGTTTAAGTGGGAGTTTAAAGCTTTTAAAGCTTCAGTTTGGAGGATACAAAAGAACAATCTTACAAAACTTGACAACAGTTAAAATAATCACAATGTGCGACACTGAATTTAGAGAGGAGAAACTCTTAGCACATTTAATTGCTTTGTCATTCATTATTAGGTTAAATGTCGGGGATTTATTATGAAAGTGTTCAGGTTCATGTTTGTATATGAAGAGCTCATTTGCAAAAACAGATAACTCCGTCTTCACAAACCTTCAGAAAACCCACTTTTCCATCGTCTACCTGAGACGATATCAATCAAACTTAAGTGATCTCTATGTTTGTCATTTCTACTGAGTCAAATCCAATCAACATCAGTTTGATTGATATTATCTCAAGCAAACAACAACAAAACACACATTTTCTGAAAATCTACAAAAATGGAGTTATCTGTTGTTGCAAATTAACTCGTCATATCTTCCTTAATTCCAACACTCAGTCTTTGAATCGATGGTTCTAATTGAATGCACACAGACATGCATCTGTTGGAACTGACTCGTGCAACCCCCATAAATAATAAAAGCAGTTCATCTTATGATGCAAAGTCTTGCTGTTGTTGTGTCAGTCTGAATTACTGTAATCATGCGTCAGTTTATCTTGGCAGTCGTCTGTATTCATATGATAATGTGCGCTATACGTCCTTGTTCTTGCGCTTACATATGATTAAACTGGTTCCCTTTCAGCGCTTTCAAGGCTTGCCATCCGAAGATAAAAACCTTCTACTTTGCTGCGGAAAATGTAGACGACATGTCCCGGTGAGTTAATGAGGATTTGATCGCCTTGTTGCAAACTCCCCCAGCCCCTGCTTTTAAACCCCCACTGTCCGGAAATTGAATCCCCCCTTACCGGACTGCCCACTCTCTTTCACACTGAATAGTTTCGTAAGGCGATTGGTCAAACAGAAACACACACACACACCAGTGCAAGATGTTTTATTGGATGTCGAACTGCTGTGCGTCACGACTGTTATCTCCCCCACAGGTGGCTCAGTCGTCTCAGTATGGCGGTGGCAGGCTACTCCGAGCAGGAGAAAATGCACCAGGACCAAGGTGAGATTAGTCACAGTCTGTGTTCATGGCGCTGCAAAAATTTGCTCATCTGTTACCGGTCAACAGTTATATAAACCTGCGAATGGGACGTCACGCTGTTACTTTTAGACCGAGAGACCATACATGTAAGTGAGTTAGAACAAATGCGTAGATAAAAATGTTGCCAACCTTCACTTGGCAATATTTTAATGATGCTTTCACAGGTTCACAGCAGTAATTTTCCATCACAGCGCATCTACAACTTCAGCTACATCATGCCATGATTTTTAACACCCAACCAACACATTAAAACAGCCTATTAGCACATTTACTTTCCTGGTTGATATTTCTTTAGAAAACAAATTTTCCCTCATTATCACAGACACATAAAAATCTGCTCCATGAAAAAAAAAAAAATGCTGTTTATTATCACGTCAGACCAACTCAGCATATTACATCCATGCTTTTTAGCAGAAGTAAATATTTTTCTTGATGTCATTGCTTGGTTTTAAAATTCTGAATTAGCTTGTTGCTTTAGCAGTTTTGTACAATTGCTTCAATAATCTGAACCTCAAAAGCCTGATGGGAGTTTGAAAGGCATGTTATCTGGAAAAAATTTAGCAAGAAGCCATAAAAAAAGGAAAGAACCGCTTGATTTGAAGCTTTCAGAAGCTACATGAGTGAATCATGTTCGACGTACAGTTCAGTTGGCAAAATGAACCAAATCTGAGCTTCAAGAAAATCCCTTTATTCTACACGTGTCACTTAAAAAATTCCCAAAACAAACCATTTTCAGTAACCAGATTCTGTAAAAAACAAGCAAACACCATACTTACCAGCATAACTGGAAAGTTATGGTTGACTCAGGTTAGGAGCCTTTCCCTTGAACTTGGCTGAACTGCAGGCTGTGTTTACACCAAGCAGATAGGAGACAAAGACAAGTATGTATATTAAAAAACAACACAACAACAACAAAAAAAACATCTAAATAGTAAATAGTAAAATATTTGTAATATGTAGAGCAACCGTTTCCCAGTATTGTTAAGTCCTGTGCACTAAATTTGTTAAAATTAAAACTAAATTAAAAGAAATTCAGTTTTGTTTTTATGATTTATGGTATTATAACTCTTACACTGCCCCAAAGAGATTTTTGAGCTGTAGCCACGGTTGTGCTGTTTGCATAGAGGTGCAGGACTTTATGTTACAGTGAACAATGAGCACACAGTGAGTAAAAATATGACAACAGCAAAAAAATGCCCAGAAGCTGCTTCGAGTTCAGAGGTCATCAGTCAGTAGAGAAGCTGTCACTCTGTTTTCAACTTGCTGTTAGATGGCTATCACAGTTTAGAAGAATTATAAGTAAATAATCAGGGAATTGAACGGCTTTTAAAATGTAGCTTCGCTTCATCTTGTATGAGCTGATGCAATAACCCCAAAAACAAGACCTGATACGAAGAATTCAACAAATAGATGTCTGGATCAGCTGCAGAGGCGTTTCACGTCCACGTCACATCAGATTATCTCTGCCCTGTGCTCAATATAAATGCTAATTTTTTGCTCTTGTTATTTCTACATTTTAGTGTCTTTGGCTTTTTCCAAACGGACAGGAAATAATGTAACTAACCCTTGTACTATTTCGAGGAGCCCACTTAGACACATTACAAATGTGGGCGGGTGAGAGCAGATTCGTCACTGGTTTTATGTAGAGGGGGCTTCTGCCTTTACAGACAAGTTTCTAAATTAGATCCACACCAACACCTCCAGAAGACTTAACAGGAAGTTATCACATCTTAGATTTATCCTGTTTTTTTTTTTACACTCCGCTCAACAGCAGACCTGGACTTTTACATCACACCTCGACCACATCATCTCTGCGGCTACAGTAGCTCCGTCAGAGCGCTTAATCACAGTGTGATCTTTGTGACTCGACCCAGTAAATCAGATCGGAAGTTGTACGTGTGTGTCATTTGTACCAGCTTCAAACAGTCTCATTTTATTTGTACACTTGAATATAGCTTCAGTTTGATTTTGCCTTGAAATACTAACATGACAGTGTTTGTTCATGACAGATTATTGGAGTGAGAGTGATCATGAGGACATGGAGATGCCCTCCATGCCCAAACAGGACAGTCCGCCACCACCCTATGACACCTATCCCAGAGCGTCCTCAGTGAGTCTGAGTTTTCAAACATACAGTACATATGATAAATGCTGAACTGCTGATCTGGATATGCAAACACTTCTGTATTTAAACTGCTTTAAGTTATTGGATCCTGAAGATCCTGTACTACTGTGTATGTACAGCAAAATGACAATGAGCTTGATTTGATTTGATATCCTCCAATGTGGCACGCAGCCCTTTTTTAAAATTTATTTGTTTACTTGCAACCATCTGTTTATGTTTAGGTGAGTCCCTACCTGGAACCCAAACGTGGCCACCTCTCCTCCTCCGACACGTTCCAGTCTCGTTCCTCTCACGAGGAGTTCCACTCCGAGCCTCAGGAAAGCAGCAGCAATAACGGCGTCTCCCCCGGGCCGAAGACGAGCAACCACAGAAACTCGTGGCAGGACCAGATGGAGAGCAGCACGAGGATGCACTACCTCCAGACGTTTCCCATGGAGGAATCCCTGCTATCTGAGGACAGGGACCAACTGGCGATGGAGTACCGCCGGCAATCCACTCTGCCGGCACAGCGCAGCCTGCTGCAGGAGCAGTACAGAGCGCTGCCGCTGCCCCTCAGGGCCAGTATTGATTCAGAGGCGGGAGGGAAACCACGCAGCTTCACTCTTCCCAGGGACAGCGGGCTGCACGCCATCCTGGCTGCCACCGCTGCTGCATCGGACCAGAGAGAACCGCAGCACTACCAGCTGGACCGGGCCAGAGACACAGGTCAGACTCTACACAGGAATATCACATGTACCACAAGCGCAGAAAAATGTCACCAAGCTCAGGAATAAACTGCATCACATGAGAAGTAAAAACATTCACAGGTTCTAGGATTTGCCTTTCTTCTGGGATATTTTTTTTTTTTGAATTTATTTTTTTATTCTTTTTAACCACAATTCAAAAGCAATGTCTTATTCACCAAATGATAATTTAGCAATTTTTTATTTATTTATTATTACTCTTTTCAGTTTCTAGTTATTTGAGTAACTATTGTGAATTTTTCATTTTCTTTAATGGAAAGCTATGAATAAATTTGAGGACGACTGTAGTTCAGCTAAACCAAAAATGACAACTTCTGATTTGGCACACAATACACTCGCATGTGTTTTGCGGGAGATTAAACGCTCTGATAGTTAGTTTGAACCGACTTCAAAGGACACGCTTCCCACAAACCTGAGTCACTGCTGTGGTTAAAGAAAGGCGTGAAAACTAGCCAGAGAAGTCAAATATCAAGAAGTGATGGATGAAGTGTTGAAACGTCCGGCTTGTGCCGCTCCAACTGGTGCAAATCTGACTGGAAACAAAGAGAGGAGTCTTACCACGGATTATTCCAGCGGGAACAGGTTTAACAGCGTCCGCTTTTATTTCACGAGAAATGTTAGATAACAATGAGTTATTCCAACGAACACATTTGGAGGATGACAGGTGGTGCTGATGGAGGCCTACGTGAGCTGAACTGACAGGGTTGCGGAGGCACAGAAAGAGCTGCAGCAGACCATTAGAGGAGAACTGTCCTGGTATCAGGACCTTTGCTGCTCAGCGTTGCATTAAGATCAGTATTTCATCCGCATAGGGTTGAGCATGCGTACTTATTTGTCATCGGTAATTTTATTTAAGCTGCTAACAGGCATTCAGAGCCAGCTAATGTCAGAGGTTGAACACTGCCTATTAATGCTTTATTGGATTGGATTTGAAGCCAGCCCATTTGCCTTCCCTCGAAGACCTCCAGGGCAGTTGTCTAAGTGAGATGAAATTTAGTGTCTTATTTGATACTGATTTATCGTGGCAGTCCACTCTCTCTCTCTCTCTCTCTCTCTCTCTCACACACACACACACACACACTCGCACTCATTCTTTCTCTCTCTCTCTCGCCCGATCGAGATGTCGCGGTGCCTCTCGGCAGTGTTTGGATGGTGAAGCGAGGAGGAATCCTTTCAGCCCATGTTAATGTTGAATTCTGAACAGGATAAAGAAACACGCCCGAGGGCCCTTTTTTCTTGTCCTCATTTATCTATTGCTCCACCGTTGGTTCTATCCACCACTTCCTATAAAGACGAGGCTAGAGACACAAAACAGGCGGCAAACAAAGCACGATACATTTCAAAGCACAGCCCCAAAGCTTCAGAATGTACCGGGCTGCTTCCAAAATGCAAAACAGAGCGACAACTAACAGAGTCAGAGGTTGGTGTAGCGCGAGTGTCCTGCCAACAGAGGGCAGTGTGACAGAGGACAAGGGGGATGCTGGGAGTTCATTAGAATGATTAGCTGTGTGTCCGGTGATGCAGGTTTGAGGCCAAATTTCGTTCCTTATTGCTCTTTCTGAAGAAAACATTCAAATGATGGGTTAAAAAAGCTGAATTTTCGTCATTTGACGCTGCGAAGAAAAACAGTGTCTGATCAGTTTAGTACAAAAAGGATGAAAAGAAAGAAATATTAATAAAGTGTCTTTGTGTAGCACTTATTAAAACCAGTGTTAGAAAGTGCTTTACGACAAACACATAATACACACAATGAAATACAGCGAAATTAATAGAAATGACAGCGGATGATGAAAAACAAATAAAATGTAAAAACAGCAGGCGAAATTCAATTTAAAAATGAGCAACGAAAGACTGCAGAAGTAAAATGCAGCGTAACTCAACAGCCAGAACAAAAGTAGACATGAAAAAAATTAAATATAAAAAAAATTATAGAAAAGCTTTCAAATACAAATAAGTCTTCAGAAGTGATTTAAAAGAAGATAGTGATGTAGCAGCCAGAGTTCCTCAGGCAGGTCATTACACAGGCAGTAGGAGGAAAGATAAGAAAATGTGAAAAACACTTCAGACATGAAACTTCTTCGACCAAAACACAATTTACTTTCTCTGATTATATTTGAACTATTTTCTGATTAAATTCTGCTCATTTTCCTCACAGTGTTAACTGTTGTAGGACAGTTTAAGCTACTTCTAATTTGTGTGTTTTCAGTTTATGCTTTGTACCTTTATTTAGCAGCTGCACTTACAGGTTACTTTACAAATGACAAGCTTATAGAATATTCTATATTTTTTCTGTTTTTGTCTACCTGAAGTAAAATGATTAGATTATTTTAACAACTGATTCATTCAATGAACTAGTTGCTCCAAAGTGAGGATTTTCTTCTTTTTCTACAAATAAATGACAGTTTTATCAAAAGAAACAGTGAAATGATCAACTGAGAAAATATTCAGCAGATAAATCTTTGTAATAAATTAGCTCCATGTTAGAGGTCTTCAGATATAAAGTCCTGCATCCTATAATGCAATAGTGATAATTATGAAATGATTTAGCTATCATGGGGCACTTTATTACGCTTTTATGCATTTCATTTTCACCCTGCTACATTCCCACACTTTGACTAACACAACATTTTAACCCTTTTACTGAAGTAAACATTTGTGATCTCCTCCACCGCTGTACACAGCATGCACATAGAGCTTCATATCTCTTCATCTCTAAAACTACCTGGAATCAATGTAGGTTTATTCATGGTGCTCATAGCTGGGAACATTTGGAAACCTCTACTGCAACATTCTTTCCAGAAAATGTTCTGTTTACTCGAGAAAGTCCCCCGACCATTTTGAGTCCCTTGACCAGCCACTTTTCATGCTGGGCAGGTAGAGGGAAGCTGTCTGCAGTTTCATATGATGGTCTGCTGAGAGATTCACTGAAAGATTGTTTTCTGAAAGTTTATATTCGTGCTGTTTGCTGTTATTTTCTTCATCCATGAGTCTAGTTTAGTGTAAAACCTTTGTCGATGTTCATTTGTCCTTGTTGCCAGGACCTGGACGGGACTGCAGGATGCAGACGGACTCTCTGGTGGATCTGTACCGAGCTCTGGAGCAAACCAATCTGTCCACCTCTGCTGACCACAGATCAGCCAGCCGCCTGGAGTACAAGCGCTCATTTGTGCGCAGAGTTAATGACCCCTTGCTGAATGACAAGCTGCACCGTTTGCGGATCCTCCACAGCTCACTGAAGGTACAAAACGTCTTAGCCTTTTATTGTTACGTACAGTCGTCCTAAAATGTATTCATACCCTCCCATTAAGGAAGGAAAAGAACAGCTGTCACGAAATAAGTTGAAATTAATGATGGGACATGATGGGACCTGTAAACTAATATGTTATTGAACTGTAACTCTCTATCAGACTTCTGCACCTGTTGACAGCTCTTTTGATTTTGCCACACTGCTCATCAGCAAAGTGCTCTAATTTGTCTGGGACAGTTTTTTTATTTTTTTTTTTAATTATTCTTTTCAACCACAATTCAAAAGCAATGTCTTATTTCACTAAATTATAATTTAGCAAATTTTTATTTATTATTACTCTTTTCAGTTTCTACTTGTTTCAGTGACCATTGTGAATTTTTTCTTTTCTTTAATAGAAGGATATGAATACATCTGAGGACAATTGTACATTCTCTGTATTTGCTGGTTGCTAATTAAACCTTTTCTTGCAGAATGTTCCTCTTCAAGACACAAACCGGTCGATGGGCTTTTTAGGGTAACCTGTTGAGGATCATTGTTGATGACACTTCGACCGTACCGCCTCTGCCTGTGCCTCACACTGCCGGCATCCCGCTGCTGGAGACAAGAGGCACCAAAAACCATCTTTTACCTGCTCGGTTCTCCTTCTCTTCTCCCTTTACTTAAAGTTCACTCACCGTGCAGGAGCACAAAGACTTGGTGTCCCTCTTTGCCTCATCTCGCTCTTTTTAAGATGAGGGCTGGCTGTAATAAAAGGCAAAAAAAAAAAAAAAAAACGATGCCTGGTTGGGTTCAAATAACTTATAGACTTACAGGGTATATGGCAAATAAGCACTTTGTGTCCGTGTCAAAGAATCGTCGGAGAGCTTTTGAAATCGTCGCTCACTTGCATGGCCACCTTCCCTCGCTTCTGTTGAACGGTTTTCAACATTATGCTGGAGTTGTGTACAGCCGCTCAGATGTGCACAACGTTTTTGTTATGCATGTATGTTTGGTTCATGGGTACGTTTGTTCTCTGAGTGTACAGGGTGTTAAGCATATACATGTATATATATATATTTAATATTACATTACGACAACAGTGACTACACAATGTTTTTGGGGTACTTATACAAATTGTACATCAAGTGCTGTGCCTCAGTGATAGTGAATGTAAATTGTACTTTTCCAGGAGAGTTGAGAGAAGAATATAGAAAGCAAGCTACTCCTCGAAACAGAGGCACAAAAATATAATGCTTGGCAATAATGAACCAGTACTGTAAATTACAAAGGAATGATCAGAATAGTTGTCTATTTTTGTATGCATGCCGTCTACCTGATTGTTTGTAAAACAGTTTTGTATTTCTAAGTGCGTTCGGTCCGGAGAATACTGGTGTCACGCCCTCCCTCCCCCTCCCCTCGACTCCCCCACCCTGCCATACAAGCACACAACCACCGCGGTGTATTTTTAATTCTTCTTATACAGATTATCCCAGAAAAACTGAATGATTTTTTTTCTAAATGTTCACCATAAAAAGAGGAATAGCTGTATTTATTAAATGTTTAATGTACAAGCATGCTTTGTAAGACTAAAACACGTTACCATGCCATTTGACTCACATTGCACACCTGTGCCATATTGTAGCTACATTACTTTTTTATTAAATAAAGTATGGTATGGGCACATGGGAGACGCACTGTTTTTTCTCATGTTACACATTTTGAAATCCTTTTTTTTGACACCGTAAGCATTAAACATTTAGCGTTTATGATGCATCAGGCATATTTAATGCAAAAAGAATAATAAAGACGAGGACCTATTTGCAGTGTATGTATGGGATCAACAATAAGAGAGTCTCACATTTCACCACCACTGAGTTCAGACGCAGAAAAGTGAAACTTGAGAACTTCCTTCAACCTCACGATACAAAAATAATTGTCAGGATAACTGCTCTCCATCAGCCACTCATGTTATTATCTTCTCAGTTTCAGACAAGGCTGAAACAGCAAATCCAGTAAAAAATGCCTTTTGAAGACATGTCAGGAAGGAAACCATTGTTCTGTGAGTTTCTGGTTGACAGCCAGTGATTGTGGTTAGCAGGTACTGTTAGAGGGGAAAATTCAGCGTGAGAGGATTTGGGCTACAGAACCTTTTATGATCTTGGGTTGTGCACTTCGTGGAAGGATAACTAGCATTTTGTTTTTTTATCATACCTGACTTTGTTGACTAAAAATAGTCCAGAAAGCACGAACAAAAGAGTCATCCAAGATTTCACAGAACAATAGAAGCATTAATAATGTTCTCCCAGTGGTGATGCTCCCCTTTACAGATGTCAGGGCCTCTGTCCTGCAGTGACAGTGTTTGTACCTGCGGACGTATGGAGACAGCCAAAGGGGACTTCTCTTATGTTTTAGCTGAACCTTCATCTTTTACAACTGAAGGAGGGATCATAGAATACAACACATAGAGCCATATGAATTTCCAGTTTTCAGAGTTGTAGTCTCATTTCATCATATATATATATTTTACCAAACCATAATAATGTCTTGAAAATTACCTGTTAATAATGTGTGGAATTTGTCCTGTATGAGTAATAAGTAATAAGTGACAGTGATAAGTGAAGATTTTCCTGCTACCTTTTGGAAGCAGAGCTGCAGAGGTTCAACAGCTACAACCCCACAAATAACAACCAGTAATAATGTTGCTATAAACATACACATAATTAGGTACAAACACATTTGCTTGTCAGACTACCCACAGCCACTGAGTGATAAGCTGATCTCTTCCATCATATGTTTTACACGCAATGCACAAATTCAAATCTTTTGTTCATATTAAAATATCCTCATTATATGTTGTTTTTATTTTTTTTAAATTATAAATCATCCTTATTAATATGTTGATGATGAAGGAAATTCAGTGACTGGAATATTTATGCTTTATTAATTGTTACAAATAATGCACACAAAAAAGAGGAATTTCTGCCGATTAGAAACCAGAAATGACATATATAAGCATTTACTCGTTGCAAAAACTAACAAAAAGTAGAGCTTTGGCAAGCTCATTGTGGCACCTTAAGTATTAAATGAACAGGAAGAGCATGTTTAAGTCCTTTTACATTTAACCAAAGCACTTCACTACAAATGCAGGATTAAACAGTAATTGCAAGATGCAAAGCAGCAGATAAAAAATAAAATAAACTCATTCTCACTTACTTGCAACCAGTCAAATGAAAACAAACAGCAGTCATGCTTGACATCATAAGTATCATATTTTTTTTCAGTTTTTATATTAAATTTTCACATTTCCTTCATTTTTACTGTTTGGACATTTAACAAAATTAAAGAACAGTTTTAGTAACTATGTTTACAGCTGTGTGTAAAAGTTCCAATAAGTCTTTATATCAGTCCTATTTTGGAATCTGGGTGCAGGAGGAGGAACAAAGAAAGAGACTGAAAGTCACCAGGAATTCAACGTGGCATGACATGAATTTAATGTTTCTCTCAGCACCAGCTGGTCTGGTCCTGTTAAAGTAAATAAGAGAGCAAATGTGATTAAACAACACTCTGCATGTCATGTGTTTCCAGAGGCTTCACAGCAGCATGCAGGACACACTCTAACTGCACAGTAACATCGCCTCATCTTCTCTACATCATGTCAACTTGCCTGCTTTTTCTGCCGAGCAGCCTAATGAGTCGTGCCCTGATGAGCCCAATACTCAAACCGTGGATTGCAGGATTAAGGAGGGGAGGGAATATCAAGAAATACAGAGACAAAAACAACTTAGTTTGATAGGACAGGTGACTACTGTCAAATCGACCTTGTACTACTTCAAAAAAGCACCCAAAGGAGTAGTTGACTATTGCTAGTAGGTGAGGAATGCATGTCCGAAGAGCTTTGAACTTTGATCTACTAAATGAAAACACACATATTCTCAGGATGTGTCCATATGAGTAAAAGATCATGGTGAGCTGTGGAGCTGAATACAGAACTACAGATAGTAACCCAACTATGTTAACAATAAAAGTATTTGTGCATGCAAGTCTTACCAGCAAGTAGTTTATACAGTACACCTTTTCTATGGTTCTCCCACAATACGGCAGCCGAAGAGTGAAAACTAGAACAGTGAGGAATGCCAGCATGGGGTAGAGCCACATAAACACAACAAGTTTAAGAGCTTTCTGTGACATGATTTGATGATAAGACAGGGGATGACAAATGGCCACATACCTGTCGTAACTCATCACTGCCAGAATAGTGAACTCAGTGATTGCATATGTGTGTATAGCATAGATCTGTGTCTGGCAAAAAGATAAAGATATCTCGTGTGTGCGTGACAGCAGGTTGACCAGCAGCGCCGGCAGCAAGGCGGTGCTTCCACACAAGCTGTTCACAGCCAGGTTACACAGCAGCACATACATCGGCTCATGCAGGCTTTTCTCGCGATAGATCACCCAAATTAATACCGAGTTTTCAGCGATGATGGTGATGTATATAACCAGGAAGATGCAGAAGTACAAAGCCTTCAGGTCCTCCATTCCATAGTATTCAGACAGATACAGAGACGTCACTTTGGAGAAGTTTTTCATGTTGATAGAAATTCATCAGAAGAGTTCACATGCAGTAAGTTTTATACCTCGGTGAGCAGCTCCTCACCTCCTCACCTGCGCTTCCCTGCACTGAGCGACTTTTGTACCTTCACAGTTATTCTCCTGTGAGATGAAGTCATGTGGTTTTACCGACACACCAATAATTTCACAGGACTCATGTGTCAAAGCCTCTAACATCTTCTGTGTCAAACCTTTTCTATGCTATTCGTGGTATTGAGGTTAAAGCCAGAAATGTTCTGGAGGTTATACTTCAGGTCAGCTAAAGCTGATGTGGGAATTTTATTGTACTACACCACTGTGAGACTGATCACCAAGAATCATATTTTAAAGTACCTTGGTGTTGTTATTTAACTGTTGCAATCATAGACCTCTTTTATTCTTTCCATTCATTCTGTACCACTATACTTACTAAACACAGATGAGCTGAAGGTGGTAGAAAAAAAGAAAAGACAATGTTGCCTCCAGTTTAAGTTCACTTTTGCACGTTTGTCCTTTAAGGTCGAGAGGTTCAATCTCATCCACATTATGCACGAAATATTTCAAAACACTGGAGCCTCACGGTGCATTTTGTATCAGTCCTCGGTGTTATGAACAAATATCTTTTACACATCAGCTAAATATGCAGCAGCCTCTTTTTTTTTAACTTGTCACATCTAAACCTTTCAGGAGATTACAATTCAGGCAGTTGCTGTTACTGGTAAAGAACATGGTAGACCAAACTGACATTTACACTTAATGATGATTTTTTAGGAAATATGTGAAGATCAGTGATGTTTGTGTTTCCTGATTCCCACTTCTACAGCTTAGTTGATTTGATTCCATTTTTTCATCAGAATGTTCTGCTGAAATTTCCCAGGATGTTCACTCTCTGTCTCTCTAGATCAGGGGTGTCGAACTGCGGTCCTCGAGGGCCGCAATCCTGCATGTTTGAGATGTTTCTCTCTTCCATGATTTAAATGATCAGCTCATCATCAAGCTCTGCAGAAGCCTGATAACGATCCTGATCATTTGAATCAGGTGTGTTGGAAGAGGGAAACATCTAAAACATGCAGGATTGCGGCCCTCGAGGAGCGGATGTCGACACCCCTGCTCTAGATCTCCTGTTTGATGGAAAAAGATATTTTCAGATAAAACATGACATACCAGAAAATGTCCTTTTAGTGTACACAACTAGAAAAGTGGACTCGAGTGCCATGGAGATTCAGTCTGATCGTCAAGCTTTGAGCTGAACTGCAGGAAAACGTCTTCCATGTTCTACACAACATTCAGTATAAGAGAAGATTTGCTCTAAATGACTCCAGGATAAAGCAGCGTCCACACAGACGGCTAAACATTTACAGGAAAAGTTCAAACTACGAGTACCTGTAATGGTAAGTGATTCAGATACAAGTTGATTGAATTCACTGGTTTTGTGTGTCTTTGTATTGATAATTAATGAAAAAACATCAATCTATCTGTACAATGCTGATGAAAACTAGGATCATCTTCAGTTCTTTACAAATACAACAGTGCTGTAATATCTGAAAACTTTAATAGAAATGCATTTGGAATAAGTGTTTTTAATCCTGTGAAAAGTGGGAAGACTAGAGATGAGCTCACACAACCCTGTGCTTCTCTATTTGTAAGGAATTAATGGTAAACCTCCATTTGGATCATCTTTGCCAGTAAGAGTTCTGGCTAAAATGTACTGGATTCAGATGTGAAATCTAATTGGAGAGCCCAGGCTGTAGTTTTAGGCTTGTCTAAATGCTTCAGTTTTACATGTTTATGTTAACAATTCTCAATGTAAGATACACTCATTTTGATAAGTATTTGGAAAGTGACACAGTTTTGTCATTTTTCCTGTGTGCGACAAAACATATAGGTTCTGAAATGAAGCGTTCAAGATGTAACTGAAGTGTCTTGAAAGACTTCCAGCTTTACTTCAAGAGGTTTAACAAGAATATTGCATAAACCGTCACAGACATTTTTCACATCGTTCCTCCATTTTCACCCTCTCGGAAGTAATTTGACAAAATAACATAATTATAAGGATTATTTTTGATACTCTGACGTAAATCCTTTGCAGTCAGTGACTGTCTGACGCCTAGAACCCACGTACATCACCAAATGTGTAGCTTCCTTTTGTCTTGAGTCAGTGAAAAGTTGCTCATTTGTGTTGAGGTCAGATGACTGATCAGCCATTTAGGAATATTCAGTGTCTTTGCCCTAAGAAGCTCTTAGTTTGCTTTTGGATTTGTTTTGTGTGATTATCCACCTGTGCTGTGAAGCGCTGTCGTGTCGATTTTGTAGCATCTGACAAACTTCAACCTTCATCCAGCTGCTTCTATCAGCAGTTGCATCATCAGTAAACACCAGTAGCCCAGTTCCATCACTCTGGTACAAGTTCATCTTGGTTTTATCTGTCCAAAAATACAGCTGCATAACTGGGCTGGCTGTTTTAGATGTTTTCTACACCTCAAGGTGAACCCTCTGTCTTTATTTTCCTGAAGGCATGTCTTGATGTCTAGATCTTGACGATGACATACTGATCATTTCAAGAGTGTTGATCACTTGGCCAGATGTTGTAAGGCCGTTGAAGAATTCTGCATTCATCCTTTTTCCTCTCCTAAAGTTTATGCAGTCTCTCTTTGATAGATAAGCTTTGTTTTTCAGACTAATGACGGCCTCCGTCACTTGCATTATCCCCTCTTTGGACTAGAATTTGAGAGTTTCTACTAAATATCAGTTCAACACTTAGAATCAGCTCCAGACATCACTGTAAAAAGGTGTGTTTGAGCTGCAGTGAAATAAAGTACAGTTTGAAAGAAATCCCAATTATATATCTGCTTTGGTGATGGCAGCTGACCTTTGAGGATTCTATCAACTAAAAATGACAACAGGTTCTTTTAAACTGGTTTCTAGTTTCAATGTAAGTGCAAAAATTAGGTCTACTGGTCCATTAGCATCATGGGCCTGACGTTATGATGTCAGTGACTACAGATCTAGAGAACTGTAATCTTTATGACAAAATCATCTTTTAGTCTGGGTTAAGCAAGACTTAAATTGAGAAAAAATTGAAACTTCAAGTTGACTTTCCTTAAAATTGAGTTGAAGATCATGTACATGATGGCAGCTTGAGCTTTCAGTGACTCCTATAACTCTGAATGTTCCAAGAATGAAAGACATGCGTCTATGAAAAGGACACATAGATGAATTATAGGTTTTCTGGAAATAGGACAAAATCTGCTGGCTCAAAAAAAAAAAAAACACATCCAGCAAAAATAACATCTAAAGTGTAGATTTTGTTCACGACTGTAAGCCAGTGGCATTGATATTACTTGTTAACATAATTTAGATCAACTCAATTCAGTTGCAAATGACCGAGTGAAGCAACTCATTTACGTTGGTCCAACAACTCTCTTTTTATAGTGTGATTTGTAATAAAGTAATGAGCTGAAACTGCATATCAGCTGTTCAGTTATGTTAGAGCCTGTATAACTAGAGGGACTGTGTAAAAAATAGTTTTCATTAAATGGATGATAACATACTTTTGTTAAACCCCTTAAACTAAAGCTGAAAATTTACACTCCAATCACATCTCTGTGGCTTAATTTCAAAAATCTATCATCGTAGTGAAGAGAAACAAACTCTGAAAATTGTGTCACTGTGCAAATACTGATGTACCCGACGGTATGTCTTTTATTTATGAAGTATATCATCGTCAGTAATAATTAAAATAACTTGTGTTCGGGCTTGTTTCAACACAGTTACATGAAGGTCATTTATTCTCCAGGTGTTGTTCTCCGGTCAGTTCGTCCTCATTCTCATTATGAATCAGTTCATAATTGCTTCCAAAGAGATTTCAAACACTAATGAGCCTGTTTATCCATTTAGCTGCTCCGTGTTTCTCTAATTCAGAAAGCAGTGATGAAGAATTTCATATCGTGGCAGGCATGATGAAAAGAGTTTGACTTGAAAATTTAAAACCAGGTTTCGTCAGGTTAATGTGTAGAAGTATTTTTATGCACAAAACTATTGCGAGAGCTGCTAAGATATAAGTTTTATTGCTTAGGCATGGACTTTATCACAATACTGTATTAAACCTGGTACACATGGTTTATCAGAGGGGCTCATATACTCAGGGATATTAGCATTTCTCCTCCTGTTGTTGATTGAGCAGATTCACTTAAAAGACACTACATGCACTTTATTTGCATTTTTTTATGTAGCACATTCTGTTTGTGCAGCATCTATTTATAGCAGAGTCACAATCCACTGGTTGTGGATAAAAACTATGTCTATTGTTCTGACAAATATTTAGGCCATTGCGCACAAGCTAACAGAGGATATTAATTGACAGATTCTTTCAGCAGTGTCTGAATGGGCCCTGTGTTCAGAGTTTAACTCAATCAGACAAACGGACACTTTATGCCACTTTATTTTGACTGACGACAGAAACTCCTCCTAAACAGGCTGAGGCCCTGCTTTGCCCAGCAACTCAGTTTTATTCCAGAGTAAAAATATCATCTAATCTCCTTGAATTTACTCCAGAGCTGTAAGTACTCGGTATATCCTCTTAACGTGACATACAGTAGGTGTCATCCAGTTGATTTAATGAATCTGCGTCACTACTCGGCTCCACAGATAACACTGTGCATGACAGAGTGTGTTTTCTCTTGTCCCTCCTTTTCCTCTCTCTCTTGCAGTTGTTAGTTTGAATGCCCGTGTGCAGCACGTCTATGTGAATTTCAGCCTCTCCGCTTGGCTCTGACTGATATTTGTGATTATGTTAACAGAGTAGATTTGCAATTTGTCAACAAATTCAGCAAATATGATGCAACAGATTCAAAGTGAATATCACAGTAGGTGAAATGACTCATGAAATTGAGAAGACATGTAATGAAATGATGTTCTTTTATTAAAATAGGATGAATTTTTAAATGTCTGTCACTGGTGAAAGGTATAAAAACGTTTATTTATGAGGGTGTAAGTGCAGAGTACACACAGACTGTCATTTTTGGCAGTACCTTTGAGCCTCCCCAAACTATTATTGAAGTCAAACACATTTTCAAAAGGCAATTTTACAATGCTTTGAAGTCAAGGTGCATTTAATATGCAAACACAGACATATGTAAACCAAAATCATTATGCAGCTGGTTGTGACTGAAATCCCCAATCGCTCTGACTTACTTATAAATCAAAAAGCAAATCCTTTAAAGTAAACTATGACATTAGGACTGTTTGGTTTCATGAATATGAGTTAACACAAAAGCACTTTGTTTTATTAAATTCAATAGTACATCATATTCAGGTGCATTAGGTGAAAATGCATTTTAATTTAAATCATAGGATTGCATTTCGTGATCTATATTAGTTATTATTGTCAGCACTGTTCAATATAAACATGAAAGGAATAAAAACAGCAAAGTAACCCAGATGGCCTCATTAGAGTAATTACTTCATAAAGAGCATTAAAAGAAAGAGTTTTGCCTTCGTTATTCAATGTATAAAAGAATAATAGCACCTAAGCTGCAGTCAGTGTCTTTGCTGATTTTTTAGGCAGGATCTTATATTTAATAAACAGTTTCAGAATATAAACTCTTACTATCTGAGTGCCGAGTCCGTACAGCACTGGGTTGGTAATTGACGGGATGATGACAAAGTATAAAGACAAAAGGATCCGCAGCTCAGAAGCTACGTGATTCATTTTAAATCTGGTCTGGATAATTTCAAAAAGCGCACCGATTGTGTAGTTAATCAAAGACAATAAATGTGGGATGCATGTTTTCAGAGCATTGACTTGAGATTCTTTTGGTAATTTCCTACATACTCGTGAAATTTGTGCATAAGAGAAAACAATCATCACAAACTGGGGGGCCACTAACAACAAAATAAGCACGAGTCCCACGATACTTATGTACTGTGGATTCGAACAGGAGTTTTTCACCAGTTCCATGTTCACACAGTACAGTTTTGGTATGACTCTCCCACAGAAGTCCAGCTGTAAGGTTAGTGAGTAAAAACATCCAAACACAATCAGGGGGTACAAGATTACTAGTGCAATGAGCTTACACATTTTTGAATTAGACATGATGCTGTGGTAGTGAAGCGGGTAACAGATGGCAACATATCTGTCGTATCCCATGAGCGCTAAAACACAAAACTCCTCGCATCCATATGTGTGCAGGAAATAGACTTGAGCCATGCACCACTTGGCAGTCACTTCATGTGTCTCAGACATGAGCACGGCCATAATTGCAGGTAACATAGCAGTGGTGCCGTATATTTCATTGAGGGATAACATGCATGTGAACACATTCATAGGCTGATGCAGCTCCTTGTTTTGGTGTATAATAGAAATGAGCAGTGAATTCAAAATGACACTAATGAGATAGAGCAGGAGGAAAACAGCAAACATGCCGTGTTTGTAGTTTTCCATGATAGCATATGCTGTCATTTTGAACGTTAAAGCTGTTCTATTGTCCATGTTTCACTTCAATTCTGGAAAAAAAAACAAAAGAAACATATATCTTAAAAGCAATTTCACTTTCAAAAGATAAATGCATTATATGACAAAGACTTCACATCAGAAAAAAAACTGCAATGCTTTTGCTGAAATAGAAACTGTACATTTTAACAGGGTTCTAAAATGTGACTTCTGGACACCATAGAATTTGTACCAATATTTATCATCTTAAGACACATTTTCATCTAAGTGATCTGGTACACCTACAGGTTCAGAGTACATTCAGCATACATTTAGAAACAGAGTCTACTGTACCTGATTTCCGTCCTCTCCTTGCAACAGAGTGCGCTGCTTAAGTTTAGGTGGGCTTTTAATGTTATTCAGGTTCCTTTGTTGCCATGGTTACCAAAGCATCATCACCTCAAACTCCTTTTGCTGTTTTCTTTTGCTCTTGTGCTGATATTGATTTAGAGAAGTGCACACAGAAGGTACAGATAACATATACATTTATAGCTGCAGCTGAGATTGCACATTTGGAGCAGAAGTCTTGTCAGTGAGTCATACTGAAGCAAAGTTCCTTTTTCCACTACATATAACAAGTGTGCCACATTACTTCTGACATGTGTTTGAAAAAGAATGAGTCACAGCTTCCTGAAATTCTGAAATCTTACTTACCTTGTTCATGTATTCACTATAAATCTTTTGCAACCTGGACTTGAGGCTATGTTGAGTTTTGGTATCATCACAAATTCGCCCAATGTGCAGTGATCCTGTGTTTGTGTATGTGTGCTAAAGCCAGACATTGCTTGAGGCCTGTAGCAATTTTCTGATGGTATCAGAGGTAAATTACGAATACTGTGTGTGTGTGTGTGTGTGTGTGTGTGTGTGCGTGTCCAGGTATTACTCATGTTGTGGTGACCTAAATCTGTTTACAGAGTCACATCACGGGGACCAGAAGCAAGTCCCTCTAATACAAACCATTAAATGTAAAGTTGTGGCTAATAATTCTATGTAAGTCACTGCAGAGTCCTCTGTGAGTGTTTCTGTGCGGTGGACTTGTTGGAACAGATAAAAGCAAATCAACTGAATCTCTGCTACCTAACAGGAGGATGACAGAGTGGCCTTAACCTTTTATAAAGGTCTTCAGTGGCCAAAAGCAGAAAAACTGGAGGCGAAACAAAGCTCAGACTCAAAGTAGGTCATTGCAGCAGCCGTACTTCGGATTAGAAAGTTGTGCATTACACAACACAAGTCGCAGCGCACATAAGACACAATCAATACTGCATCTTTTTCCAATCACTAAGCAATAAGGAGGTTAGAAAGCATCAGAACTTCACATGGACAAAACATAAGTCTAGATAACTGGCTGTTCAGCTGCTAAATGCACCACAGATGACGTTAAACCTAAATTCATCGACTGAATTCAGGCCACGAGAAGCTGCCCCGACATCATAGCTGGTCTATCTGTTTGTTCAGCTTTTAGACAGAGGTAGAGGTCTGACCTCTGGGCTATGGGTGGTCGTCAGTCATATCACAGTGTGATTCTGCAAATGTAAGCTACAAAAACTACAAGTGGAAGTAGAAAGGTTTGTTGAAAAATGTAATGAAAATGATCTTTCTGTATTTATTTCTGTATTATTATTATTATTATTTATTTGTAGCAGCACATTGCAATCCTAAATATCAGCACCTTTTGATTCAAATTTGCATTTTTTACTTTTATTTTTTTTATTTGTATTTTTTTTCTGGTACTAATTTCTTGTTAAGGTTATGATTTTTTTTAAAAAATAAACAAATCTGTACAGCATGTGCTTATTAGATAAATCATAAATAATGAACTGCTGATGTAAAAATTCACGTCTTTGTCAGCCAGAACCTCTACTGATAATGCTCAAATGTTAAAGCAAAGGCGTTCTACAATAAATCAGTAAACACATTAGAGGCCATTAGTCCACTTTGAGTTGCCATTCCTCTGGAAAGCAATTAGACACCAGTGTTTTGCCACAGGTGAGACCTCTTTGGACAGCACCTGGAGAAACGAGGGCCGGGAGAAACACACTAATGACTTCCCTTTGGAAAACACTGATGCAACACTGATGAAACTGTGTCCGAAGGGTTGTGACCTTCGAGATCACGCAACCCACAACAATAATTTGTTCAGGCATTTATTTCTTTATATCTCAGCAAACTGATTTAAACCAGTTACCCCAGTCATAGTTACATTTCTTTTTAGTTATTCAGTGAAATGAGAAGAACTGAATTGAGTGGTTGATGGCAAAAAAAAGAGGCAGAAAATAATGTTTCGCTCATTTTAATGTGTCCTGGAAGGCACGGAAAAGCTTCACCAGACATAAAATTGTAGACAATAATAACAATAGCTGAATGAATAATGATCAGCCACTACACAAATCTGGCTTAGGGCTTCTCATCTGCAAAAGACGATGACTCCTAGTCTTCCACATAGAGATGGTTGCCTGTTTTAGAGTTTGATGGTCCTTCTATAAACTGACTGAAGACCACAGTCCTCAAGTCGCCAGACCATGGACTGTTCATAAAAGATGTGTTGCTACCTTGATATCACCCACTGGTCCGTGGATTATTGATTTGAAGCTTCACGTTTGCAATTTAGGTGTCAGCATCTTAGTCTTTTGAATTTTCTTTTGAGAAGCAAAGGTTGAACCTAACTGAGAGCTTTAGGGTTGCTATACAGTCCCATCCTAAAGCATACCCTACTTTAATGTCTAGTTCCCTCTAAATGTCACCATAATTTACAAAATGAGCAGCATGCTGTGTTGAACAGGACTTGAAAGTAGAAATTTAAACCATAAACTCATTAGGAAAATGTTTACTTGGATAACAAATCAAGGGAGAAGTGGGGCAATTTTCTCAGATGTCCGCCCCCTGCTGGGCATTAGAAAGAATGCAGCTTTAAAATTATTTACTTTTCAGACCCAGAGGTTATGTTCATATTTGGTGGTGGCCTTTTGTGTCATGGGGGTTCTTATAAGGTTGACTAATGCTGTCATTTGAGGCTACAGCTGAAGTCTGGGCAAAGAAGCTGACAGCTATATAATTTCCTACATCTGGTTCTTTCTTGAACTGTGTGTTCAGAAACTTTTTCCATGTTTTCCTCTAACTGGCCCACAGCGTCGACCATGTGACGGTGACATTAGCCCTGGTTTTTCAGTACAGTTAAGGAGGTCAACATCTATTTCTGTAACCAGAGAAGTAGCACATAAAATCTCTCTGAATAAATAAAAGCCACCTACACAGAACAAGTTGGTTGATCTTACCTCTCATTTGTCAGACCCGTCACCTGACCATATTTTGCATTGTATGTCCTGATCTCTACTACAAAACAAGTTGTGATTTTTGGGGCAATGAAAACATTACATCACATTAACCTATCGGCAACCACACAGCAGAACATCCTGTAATGTGATATAACAGTGAGCAATGCTGTTTCTGTGATTTATAAAGCTCCCAATTAATCATCCTCTCTGCGGTTTCTACATTAAATGTCGAAAGTATACATTAGCATTCATACGTCACTGACACAAAATCATTTTAAAATCCTCGCCAGGAAAAGGTTCATATGCTGTACAAACATGAACCTGAAATTTTGATGGTGTTAACAAATTGCTCTGCAAATGTTAATGGCACTTTATGAGAAAGTGCTTTCACTGACACTTTATTATAGGAAGAAGCATTTATGCCCTCAATCTCAGTAAATCAGTGAGGGCTAAGAATGTTCATGTGTTTTAAATCAGAAGAAAAAAGCACTTTCTTGGGAATGTTTATCTCTTGTCTCATGACAACACTCGGTCACGAGTCGGGAACAGCAATGCAGTTTCCTTAAATGTGATTAAGAAAAGCATGTTCTCTGAGGGATGCTTATAATTCTATCATTTAAAACCCAGTGACCAGTGTGCTGCTGCATATTATCGTCACTCCTCCCTCCTGGCCAAAATACAAACAGGCCCGAGCCTAATCCTCATTTTGGAGCAACACTGTCAGACGCAAGAATGTTTTGTTATCGTGGGCTTGTTTTGGCGCTCGTGGTCGTCTTACTGCTTAATGGTAAGTCCTGATATAATATATATAAGCATGTTTTTGCAGCTCTTATCTCCACATTCTTGCACTTTTGAGAGAAATATAGATTTTATATTTTCTTATTCCTAAAGCAGAGGGATTTTTACCTTAAACAACTTCATTTATTTGTGATTACAGTTGTTGAAAATGAGGCTGCATCCTTCCCCTGGTCTTGTCCCAGTCTAAGTGGGGTGTGTAGGAAGGTTTGCCTCCCAACAGAACTGTTCTTTGGACCTCTGGGCTGTGGGAAAGGCTTCTTGTAAGTGTTAATGTCCAGATACAGTATGCAAGCTCTGCAGATACCGATGGAATATAACGCTTTTTTTTATTTCCAAGGTGCTGTGTGTCTCACTTTCTATGAGGAATGTCGCAGCGGTTCTGAAGTCATTCAGCCATGCTAGAAGACCATCCAAGCCTAACAGAAGATGAGTAAACAGGAGATACTGTCAAAGAGGATCATATGTGGCTTTTCAACTCTGATAACTCTGTAACATGGCGGACTCTGTAATATTAAATTAACTGCTTATAGATTTTTGTTGATCTCAAATGGAGTAAAATGTTGCATAAAGGTTCTTTGCCTCTTTGTTCTTTTCATATAACTTTTTCATTACTTGTCAACATTTGTTTAGATTTTTATCTAAAACTGGGCATCTTTTAATATTTGGTTGGCATCCATCCATTTAGTCGGACTCCAATCCAAGTTTGCATTCACTCATTTGTTTTTTCCGAGCCAAGAAAACAAAGTAAAAAAAAAAAAAAAGATTTTCACTAGACGTGTTAATGGATGAATGTATTGCTATTTTAGGTTCCTAACAAAATGGAAGCTAAACATGCACAGACATCACTTGTGTGGTTTATTTCAATGAGCTGTGTGTTTTCATTGGAAGAAGAACATAAGGCCACTGCACTCGAAGATGTGCAACAGAAAAATACATCGCCATCTAGAGCAGCGTGCATTATTGGCCCTCGGCACAGAGTCCATGTGCATTTCCTTAAAAGTCGGAACTTTACTTGTAACTGGTTTATGAATCGCTGTTTGACGTCTTGATAATATAACACATGAAATACTCTTATTTTCATCCTCAAATACCACTTCAGCTTCATACTAAATATGGGGACATTAGGGATTGTAGTGCACAAAGACTACGTTACCTGAAGCTCAAGAGCAGAAAAACAAATGTTATTATTTCTCAAAATGTCAGTGTTTTATGCCATATAGTCCAGTAACTTTATTTACAACAGGGCCAGTCGGAGCTGTTGGTTAAAGCATCCTGAACCATGTGCAAGTGACTTTATAAGTTGACATAGCATTTCAATAGTTTTTGCATAATTTGTTAACATAAATAAATCTTAATTGTAAACCTTATTTTGATTTGCAAATGTGAAACATGTTTTTTTTGAAAACTTTATTTATTTATTTACATCAAATCCGCTGTGTAGTTTTATATTCATTAGGGCTTTTTCTTTTTTTTTTTTTTTTAAACAATCATTCTTACATCATTTGGCAACATGATGATGTGATGATGCAACTGAAATATGGCATCATTTACAAAGACACGCTTGCTAATCACCTGTGGGTCAGAGTCTGTACGGACACATAAGTCAGCTTTGGGAGGTAGAGCCAGCAGCAACGGTGGACTCGCTCTCTGATGATGTAATTATAACTCCCACAGGTAAGCAGCTTAATGCCGGGCGGTTTAAGACAAGGGAAATGATGTGGTTTCTCACTCAGTCAGAGCAGCTGGCTCAGGATGAGAGCGGGTTGTCCACTCATTACAAGGTTAGCGGTTTGATCCCCAGCCCTTCCACATGTCAGTGTCCTTGAGCAAGATGCTGAACCCAAAGTTGCACCTTGCATGGAAGCTCTCTTGCCATTGGTGTGCGAATGGGTGAATGAGAAACACAATGTAAAGTGCTTAGAGTACCGCTGAGGTAGAAAGGCGTGATATAGGTGCAGACCATTTACTATTTACCCAAGGTCTGAACTACAGGGGCACCAGGGGGGAGTTTGGCTTCTCTTGATAAGATATGAACTTCCCTGAAAACATGATTTGTAATTTATTATTAGATTTTGGTAATTGGTTTTAGTGGTTTCGTGCATGTTGGATTTTCAAAATGCTCACAATATTCAATTCGTGCCATTGTTTTTTCCTTACATCTTCATCATCATAAATAAAATTGGTCTTTAATTGATTAATGATTCATGCATGAAGGCGATTCATCAATAATTCACTTTAATAAACAAAGCGTGGCAGCGAAATGTCATAAACTTTACTCACTTTAAGTCAAAGATTTAAAAAAACAACAACAACAAAAAGCTGCCTTGGTGCCAACCACAGTAAAACAGAAGAACAAACGTAACCTTCCATGTTGCTGGAAGCAGGCAGCAGCAGCTACTTTACATCTGTTTCCCCGTCCTCATTATTTATAATTTTTTTATAGGAAAAAAGTTAAATCAAGTGCTTTATAACTTGTATTTGTAATTTCTGGCCACAAAAAAAAAAAAAAAGAAAGAAAGAAAAGAATGAACTGCCCCTTAAGCCAAGTTATAGTTTGCACACAGAACACATTTACCTTCAGACTTGTGGTCCATTCTGACACAGTACGAGATGCATACATACTAAATATTAAAATATGTGATCTGTTGATATAGTGTGTAATGAGTAAAGAAGTTAAGCCCACCCAGGCATCATGATATCTGGTTGTTTGGACAGTTTAGAGACATTGGTTCATTTTCTCTGTGTGAGTCTCTCTATTCAGTCATTGTAGGGTTATGAAGTGAAAGCAGTTAAACACTCTGGAGTTTGTAACTAAGTGCTTTGTTTGGAAATCTCTGTTTTTAGGCCCCAGTGTTACAGGACCTACTGTACAATCTGGGATAGTTTATTCAGTTGCTCTTGGCTCTTTGTCCAAAAATGTCTAAATTAAGAAACTGATATGGGGCTGCAAGGTGAAGCAGTGGTTAGTACTGTTGCCTCGCAGCAAGAAGGTTCGCGTCCCGGTGAGGACACCAGAATCCCTGTGTGTGGAGTTTGCATGTTCTCCCCGTGCAGCATGGGTTCTCTCCGGGTTCTCCGGCTTCCTCCCACACAGTCCAAAAACATGTTGAGGTTAATTGGTGATTCTAAATTGTCTGTAGGTGTGAATGTGAGTGTGCTTGGTTGTCTGTCTCTAAGTGTAGCCCTGTGATAGACTGGTGACCTGTCCAGGGTGTCCTCTGCCTTCACCCTGAGTCAGCTGGGATAGACTCCAGCACCCCAAGACCCTAGTGAGGATAAAGTGGTGTATAGATAATGGATGGATGGAAGAAACTGATCTGTCATTTAATAATGTTAAATTGTACTTTTACCATGTGTCACTACATTTCCTGTAACTTCTCTACATAAGGGATGAACCATCTAGTCACATGTCTTCATGCTTTTGTGTTGTTTAGCCTCTTTTTCTATCTTCACCTTGAAAGTACATTTTCCGTTATCGCTAGTGGTTAAGATTCTATGAAGAGCAAACCTGTCACAGCTGTTTGATCTGTCCTGGAGTCTTGCATTATGGCAGGCCAGGTCCACTGCAATCTCTGAAGAATTACTTGGCCACAGATTTATAGTCTTGTTGTCGCACTAAAGCTGCATACATATTCGGTCAACAGCAAGCATGCAGTTAATTCTACCTAAAAAAACATCTTTCTCTCTTCGTAAAACACCCAAAGATGTTCACGCAAATTGACTCCCAGCCTGACTCAGGACTAATTTCTTGTCTTAAAAGAAAGAATCTACAGAGACTCTCATAAAGGAAAGGACACAGAGTCATCATTCATCTCATAAAACTGTAACCACAGCAGCAGACTTCACAGATGCCTTGCAGTGAGATTTAGGTTTTGACACTGGCAGAAGAGGATTTACTCCACAGGCTGCCTGACTCCAATTACACGAGAGATCAGCGTGGGGCGGCATCTCTGGAAAAAACACAATCCTGGGAGCATCCTCCGCTTCTATTTGGTTTACTCAGACACGTCACAACACTTTGCTCCTTCATCATACAAGTCAACCAGCCGGAAACAGATAAAATTGGAAACACTGCATATAAACAAAGTTACCAAACAGTTGTCACTGTTTATTTGAAGGTTCATCCTCGCTGCTGTTGATAACAAGAGTCGGTGTGTATCTGAGGTCACAGAACACAATGTACTGCCAATGTGAACGTGCACATTTGTGTCTGTGTGAGCTTGTACAAATGTCCTTGCACCGTCCCTCTCTAGTATTATCCCTAAATAAAAATCCTTGCTTTCTTTAAATGTACCTTGTGGTCATCCACCACATCTAACCATACAGCTTAGTGATTTATTATTTATTTATTCATTTGTACAGGCTTTGATTTTTGTTGGATCCAGCCAATGAGAAAAACACAGTCATGGCAACAGTAGTGAAAACTCTGAATGTGGTGCTACAGGGATGCTACCACTTGAGGGCAGTGCTGAAGGACTCATGGCATGATGACTGAATGCTGAGTTCTCTGTCTTTGGTCATCCTCAGTGCTGTAACAGGAGTTTATCAAATCTGGTACAAACTAGTGGGGACTGATTGTATAAACTGGGCTGTTCTTATCCTGAATATTTTCTAAACTATGAGATACTATGCTGTCAAAAATTTCCTCTCCACTTTCGCCAGTAATGCTGTCTCACAGGGAAACTTAAGATCTGTTGGGTTTTCCCCTGAATAATTTTGAAAGGTATAAACACTTAGTTTTCAATTTGCCAGTTTTTTGGTAGATATAGAAGTAGTTAGCCTTGATGTTTAAGATAATCAGGTGAATTTGTATATACAGTAACATTTCAATCAATCAGACAAATTTATGTCTTAGAAATCAGGTTCCACTGAGAGTTGAACTCAGATCGCTGGAGTCAAAGTCCAGAGTGCTGACCATTACACCATGGAACCCCTTATGAAGGTAACCTATCAGTTAAACACCTTCATACATGAAATTACCATATGTATTATACAGAGTATACAACGGACTAATATTTATCATAAGTTAAGAACATGTACAAACATCCATCCATCCATACACCACTTAATCCTCACTAGGGTCACGGGGGGCTGGAGCCTATCCCAGCTGACTTAGGGCGAAGACAGGGGACACCTGGACAGGTCACCAGTCTATCACAGGGCTACACTTAGAGACAACAAGCACACTCACATTGACACCTACAGACAATTTAGAATCACCAATTAACCTCAACATGTTTTTGGACTATGTGGGAAGAAGATGGAGAACCTGGAGAGAACCTGAGCTGCACAGGGAGAGCATGCAAACTCTGAGGCCCTAATGGAACCTGGGAGCTGATTCCACAGGCGTGGTCCCACATGGTTGTGAGATCTGTGCAAGGAATAGGTAGAGAGTTCTGGCTGCTACACCTGATTCACCAAAACAAGGAAGACCACAAACAGTCCAGTGAAGTCTCCAGGTTCCACCGAGATTTGAACTCGGATCACTGGATTCAAAGTCCAGAGTGCTGACCATTACACCATGGAACCACAAAGCCAGACATCAAGCTGCCAACATCGGAGACAGAATCAGAATCAGAACTCATGATAATTAAATTGTTGACGATGTCGTGATCTGTTGTCAACCTGAGTGACAGTCTTTATAGTAGCATAATGAGACACTACACATACTTGGCATGATGCATTCACTGACATCAAAAGAGTGGCCAAAGCTTTGAAAGACAATCTTGAAGCTATTCATTGAGTGATTCATAACCATATTGGACACTTAGAAGCAAAAGTAAATCTTAAAAAGAAAAGGAAAACTAGTCATACAAAGTCTACATGTAGATTTTGACATAATAATAGTATAAAAACACAAATGAACATCTGAATTGGATGCAAAATACTAAGGTAGGTAACTGCGCAGATCATTTGCACTTTGCTGGTCTGAAAGAATCTTTAGTTTTGCCTATCAATTACATCAGTAACCCAGTGTGAGATGGTAGCATTTTGTTTTCCATTTATTCATTTACTTGTAATGTCTCCACATAGAAACTGATTTTAAGGAGAGTAGTGTCTACAAACAGAGGATGGAGAACAAAACTACGACCTCAGCATCAACATTCATGGTGCAGGAAGGTAAAAAGCAGTGAATTTTAAAGTCAGCACTGATTCTCCCAACAATTCTCAGTCCTATGCTGCGTTTAGGATTTCAACTGAGCCAGTTTTGGAAGAAAAAAAAAACAAAAAACAAAGCCGTCCCGGTGCTGAATTCACAAAATAATGACATTTTAAATAATCTGATATTTTGATACTGCCCCCCCACTGTGTGTCAAAGGGTTATGCAACACACAGTGAATGTGCGGCAATCTATAAATTTGGAGAGTTTTCTTCCCACGTGGTTGTGAATCAGGTTCCACTGAGATTTGAACTCAGATTGCTGGAGTCAAAGTCCAGAGTGCTGACCATTACACCATGGAACCCCTTACGCATGAAGCAAACACAGAATTCTATGTTTAAAATCTTTATTATTGATTATTAGACGACAAACATGAAAACAAAGAAAAAACTATTTATTTAGATTGTTATTAGCTTAACTACTGAAGCACTGAGGCAGTGACAGTCAACTCATGGCTCACAGGACAATCCAGACCCATAATAGAGAGCTGGTGGGCCTGCCAGCCAGAAACGTATTCACATTGGGAATTTTTTGCTTGTTTGTCTATCTAGTAAATCTTTAATAATGTCTCTTGCCTGTCAGCTAATTCTGGAATAAACTATGCCCAAAAAAGTTACATTTAAAAAAGATGCGTAGGCCTTTTAATGCTTTTTCATTTTATCTGATGTGAAAATGATGGCCAGCAAACATCAGTTACCGATCATCCTGAGCGGCAGAACATGTAATAAATCTCTTTTGCCTCTGACTGTAAATTAGTCCACAGACAGCCCTTTATCATCTTTCCTCCACAGAACCTGAATGTCAGAGAAAACAGCGTCGCCTTTGGTGCAGGGCTGTGATCTGCAGCTTGCTCACTTGTTTCATTTCTAGATTGACAACTGATGAGAGAAGAGGACATAAAATGACATGCTGTACATGACACACCAGAGCTGACACTAGATTAAAGGCCTATTTCATATACGCTACAGTGCTTTTTGGACTAACCTGCCCAGAAAGATGAGAGGAACACCAAAGGTCCAGACACTGTATGAAACAGCTCAGGCAGACTGCCTCAGCTGTCAACATAAATTTCCTCTGGTTCGGTCAATCACAGCTCAGCCATCAATATAAAAGCATAACTGCTCTTGATTTTTAGAAAAAAAATAGCATGGGTAGTGGCACAAGGAGAAATTCTGACACAATATGAAATCTTATGAGTCCTCTAAGAACCAAAATGCTGAGCAAGTGAAAAAAAAGAAGAAAAGGGAACTTAAATTGAGCAATCTAAACTCAAACAGAAGGAACAAAAAGACAAGCAGCTAAACTCTTAACCTAACAAGACAGAACAAAAGGGTGTGAAACAAAATGTCACCCACCTCTACTGAACCTGCACTATTACATTAAATATCTTTAAAATAGTCAACACGCAGAATCAGATTGACTGGCAGCCTGTCTAGAAATGGAAAAAAAAAAAAAACAGCGAGAGAGCAAGAGATTGTGCAGCGCTGGCCTTTAAGATGCATTTTTGAAGGCAGGAACCAGTGGGCTCCCTGAAGCAACCTGAACACACACACTCATAATGATTCACTCAGTCAGTCGTGCTCACCTGCAACCCTTCACATACAGACACCGGGCAGCATCGCCACAAAGAAAAGGAGCGAGAGATCCACAGACACATGCAGAGGAATATAAAGAATGTAAAAAATGCTAGCAAAACCTCAAGGTGTTATCATAAGGTAAAGTGCTACAGTATTTTAATGTCTGATGACTGACGAGAACTGACAGTATATGAGTCTAGGATAGTTTATCTTTTCAATAAGCAAATCTAATAAATAAATGACTCATCTGAGCCTGCATTGGTGATATACAAACACTTACACAAACTGGTCCCTCACTGCAAGTCCTAAAAAGATGATTTGTAATGGCAAAATATATATATATATGTTGATATAAAGCTCATACATAATCTCTAAGAAACACTCACATCTGGCTAAATTTGTTGAAGGAGACAGTGATCTGTGTAAAAATTGGAAAAGCAGCTATAGTACTTACTTTATGTGGCAAAATAAATGATGTTTTTATTGGCTATCCGATGCCACTTCAATTTTCACTGCGAGCTGTTGGCTTTAGTTCATCCTGGCTATGAAATGTTGTTTAATGTTATTAGTGCTGCAGATGTTTAAAATGTCAATCAATGTTTCAGGTACAGTGAATATTAGAAATGTTAAGGTTTAAAATTAACGTGTAAAGGCATCACAGTAAATAGATGTTTCAGTCGTTCACTGATCACTTCTGCCCTCAAGTGGATTTCTTTTGTACAGGACTGTGTTAACGTTGACAGCATGCCAGACATAAGATCTGTGTCTGTGCTTTACCAGCTGGTTCAACTCAGATCTGATGTCAAATAACCAGTCCCAAGACTGAACAGGTGCTTTTCAGACAACATTTGCTGTCAGAAGTGTGATTCAAACCCACTCCTTCGACCTGAACGTCAACGGTATGATGGTGCATCATTAACTGTGGCTGCTCTGTTACAGTATATTTAAAGTTCATTTCCTCATACCCACATGATTTTCTGTAGGAAGATAATATCTTGCAGGTCACAAGGCTGAGCTACAGAAAATTCGCTCATGACCTGTAGATGCTGGTCTGTAGATAAAGACCCGACTGACTGCAATCTGATTGTTTGAATGCAGTGAAACTGGTTTGTGTCTGTCTGTAACTTCAGGTGAGGTCAGGTAAATTTATATAATATAGTGGGGTTTTAACTTCAATATTTAGGTTAGTCCACTAAATTAGCATACATAAGTGGTAAAATCGCGGGTTTTCAACCTTAATATTTAGGTTAGTTGGGTTAATTTGTATTATAAGTGTTATAAATTAATAAAACTAAACATCTTTCCTGCCCTACAGAGAGTGAGGTTGACTCAGTCTTAACATACAGATCACAGGGATGAGTGTTTTAACTATCACAAGCAATGAATGCAGAGTGATAACACCGTGTCCAAGGGCTTAACAGTTAAAATGTCACCATAATCTGACATCAATAGAAAAGCTGCTTGATGCTTTTTTTTCTGGATCTTTGTTCTTGCACTTATTTTCTATTTCTTTTAGTGCAATGTTTCTGTCTGATGAAATAGTTATATCAATCAGTTCGCAGGTAGAATTCTTTGAATCTTTAATGATGATGTCTGGTCTGTTCGCTGCTGTAGTTCTGTCAGTATTGACTGGCATGTCCCACATGATGGTGATGTTGTTGTCTTGATTGTGAATCACAGTCTAGGGCTCATGCTCGCACCACAACCTCAATGTTATGATCCTTACAGATGTTCCAGTGGAGATACACTGCAGCTTTATTGTACCTGGAGATGTAATCTTTTTTGGCTAATACCTCACAACCAGATAGAATATGGCTCACTGTCTCTTCATGCTGTGAACACATTCTGTATTTGCTCTCCACTTGCTGGCCACATATTACTTTTTGGTAGTTTCTGGTGTATACTGCCTGGTCTTGAGCTGCTGCTAGTAGCCTCTCGGTTTCTCCTTTCAGATTACTTGATAACCGTTTGTTGATGGTAATTGTATCTACATGAGGCTTCTCCAGGATCTTTGGATACTGGCCGTGCAATGCTTTATTTTTCCACATTTCTTCTTTCATTGATTTCATCTTGGATTTGATCAAGTGTTTTAGGGCTTTAGCATTTTCTGAGGCTGATTTATCTTCACTGTTCTCAAACTCTGCCACTGGTACTTCCCTCTTGAACTTATCAGCACTCTTGCTTATTATTGTTATTATTATTATTATTATTATTAGTTAATAATGATTGGGGTGTAAACTTTTCTTCGACTTCCTTAGACTGGCTGTAACCGAGAGTTAAGATTTCCACTGAAACCTTTCATTTAGCTCAATGAGGCTTTCATTAGTCATTTCACATTCATTGAAACTACAGGTGGTCGTCTAGGATCATAGAAAGCTGAAAAAAGTTCGCATGGTTTTCTGTGTACAACACGAGGCCTGCAGTTTGTCCCTGTGGCCGCTGGCGGCGCTGTGGGTCGGAGCGCCGATGAGTCAGTCTGCTGGTCCAACACGACGAGGAAGCGGGGAGCAAGAAGCAATAACAAACAAACCTAGCAGCAGCAAG